ACGAAAAAGGTGATGGCTACGATCTTTTGGGATTGTGAAGGAATCCTTCTGATTGATTTTAAAGAGACAAATACCACTGTTAATGACACATATTATGCCGCATTACTTCATAAGTTGCGGGAATATATTCAGAAAAAACGTCGAGGAAAATTAACCAGAGGTGTGCGGTTGTTGCACGACAATGCGCCCGTTCATAGTGCTGGCGTTACACAAGCTGCCATCCTAGATTGCGGGTTTCAAAATATAGAGCACCCTCCTTATAGTCCAGATATGGCTCCCAGCGATTATTATTTGTTTAGTTATTTGAAAAAGAACCTTCGCGGGCGACGTTTTCGGGACGATTTTGAGTTACAAGAAGCTGTTTTGGCCCATTTTGAGGATAAACCGAAAGAATATTTTTTAAAGGGATTGAATTGTTAATTAAACGTTGTAAGAAGTGCATTGATGTTAAGGGAGATTACATTGAAAAATAGTAAAAACTTGTTGTACTTTGCCTCCTTCATTGTCAGGCCGGGAATTATTGGCGCTTACCTCGTAAACAGTATCAACTGAACATAAAAAATTAAAGTTGCTTCTGCAACACAACACAATTATCTGTGAAGGTCTATCGCAAATAGAAAGAAACTCTTCGTTTTTATTTGTAATAGGATTCATCTTACCTAAACAAGTAAAAACATCCTCTTGATCTTCGAGGAGCGTGGGCATAACAGAACGTCTTGCGGCATAAATGTTTTTTCGCACTCTATGAATGTCGTGCGAGGTGATTCGTCACAAAACTCGTTCTTCCTTAATTCTTGATGAATGAATTTTGAGGGTTTTTCTGACAGGTCCTGCAATGCTTTCCTTTTAATGCCATTGCTAAGGGCCTGTCGTTGAAGAGTGTCGTTTTCCTCATGGTTGTGATTGACATCACTTTTCTCGTCAATTATTTGGTCACGAAGGATATAAACCTTGGCTGAACACTTGTTTTTTTTTAACACATCGCCATCGCACTTCACCATTGGCAAGAGTATTTGCCTCACAAAATTTAAAATTGCCTATAACTAACAACTTTTCCCTTTTTCGCTAAAAATATATTTGACTTCCATGATCGTAATGTATACTCGGTGACAATTAAAGACAGAATAAAATAGTACTTTTCTAGTTTCCTTACATCCGTAATGTATCTACACATCATTCTCCTAATTACTTATTAATACTCCTAATTAATAATTGATAAAGGATTAAAGAAGGTCGCTGGCCTAACTCAACTACCTAGATTACGCCACCTGCAGCGCTGGCCTAACTCAGCTTCCCCATGTAAACTGCTGTAAATCGTTGCAAAAAACGAATGATGACTAAGAGTGTACGATACGATAGTTACAGACGCGTTGCACCAGAAGGCAGCACTTGAGGCTTTTTAGCCACAAAAATGGTTTTAATAAATTAATTTTAATATTAAATTTGGCCATAAATGATAAAAGAATATTATGTCAGAGAAGAACAATGACGTAAATGGGCTGTAGCTGCTTATTTTTAAGAAAATTCTGGAAATTGAATGCGCTATCTAAATCTAGAACAAATTTGCTGTATATTATAACTTTATTAATTATTTGGGGGATTATTGTTGCTTATTTAATCAATGATAATAATAAAAAACTTAAATTATTATTTCTAAGGAACTGTTTTTTTTGCACTTGCGTCATTGTTCTTCTATAGGTGCGGTATGTGTTCTACTGCATACACGTTTACCTAGCAAGTCTATTTTGCTGTTACGGTTCTATTGATAACGTTACTATGAAATTGGTAAATTGCTCCAGATGTCTGCTACAAGGTTAGCTATAGTTCTTTGTTGTCTGCCAAATTTATATTAATTTATGTATTTAACTAATATTTCTATTTAAATACTATCGATAATTGGCTATTAGGCAACGAACCGAATATTTTATTAAAATAATATCGATACAATGCTGATAAATAAAAAACTCATCGATATATTATTATTTCGACATATCGATTTAATCTATATTTATTTTTTTTATAATTATTACATAACTAATACATAACTAATTTGTTTTATACAAGATAACCGATTAATTAGAAACACCTGTCGTATGCGGAAAGATAAGAATCGTGTACTGGGTACTATAGAAAAAAAATCATAGTACCTAGACGATAAAAAAAGTTTAGTGAACTCATCGCGCGCGTCCTAATAAAGATATACCTACAAACGATCGTAGATTGTGTCAGTATAGGTATAACGTACCCACCTATATAGCGAATAACGTGTAATAAAAATTCCAATCTATTGACTCTGCACGATAGATCCGGCAAAGATAATTTGTTGGTGGAAAAAACGACGATCATATGCTCGATTAGCATATATTTGCTAATTCGCAAGGTTAGTACACGGAGGGCCTTGAGGTTTTACCAATATTTGCAAAAAGTGTCCTTTGATTAACACTAAACTGAAAATTATGTAATATGATTGTCTAATTTATACTAATCCAGAAATATATTCAAAAATTCCCATTAATTATGAAATTTATCCCCAAACCTCCAAGGTGCCTGTTCTCTAGATCAAACAGCCGCATATTTACAGTATACTAAAACATAATTGAAGACATTGCAGCAAAAACGAAGTATCTGCATTTTTCGTTTAAATGGAGTCATCATCACGAATCTGTAAAGTATATTAATGTTGTAGTATGGATCAAAACTGAGATATTTACCTTATTTGGTTTCGGTCATGCATAATTTTTTAACTACCGTCTCTATTTACTACGAAACATTTGGTGCAATAACAAGGCAACTTTTCAAATATCCTCAAGTACCACAAGTTGATTATATAGACTTTTAGAGCTCTATTTTTTTGTGAAGAACACACTTCGTCATATTGTGCAGAAATCAATTTGAGTTTGTAGGCGTGGTCAGACAGATTTAAACGTGATTGAAGCCACCTGCCGCTCATCACCGCTCATACAAGTTGAATTCAGTAGCTTAGTGTTACTTATTTGTATTTGTGGCATTTATTTAATTATTTTGAGTGTGGCATAGCTATGACGAAATGTGCTCTTCACAAAAAAATCGAGCTCTACCACAACCTGAAGTCAGGTGTTGCTCCAGATGAAGGTAAGACTAACTACATCGTTTTTGCTGGAATGTCTTCAATTGGTCTGTTGTAAACCGTATGTCTTTGAATACTGCCAAATACTGCTCAATTGCTTTTATTAGAACTAAAACTTCCATTGTTTTCAATTATTCACCAAATAGTATTGCCCATTAACAGAATTGGTATCATCAAGGATACGGATATCTATTTTGATTGTTATTTGACATTTATTTTATTAACACCTTTACTATAGTCTAGAGAAGAAAGCAGTGCAGTAATTTAATTTAAAGAACGTAATACAGGTTCAAGAGTTTTTATTCATACCTCATCCTTCAATGCTTATTTGTAGTTAAAATGAAAATGTTAATACATCTGATCGGACTAATAGTGTTCGTTTGGATTTAATCATGTTACCATGGTTTTTACTGTAATAAATCTTTTCTTTTGACAGATAAGTCAGACTTTATTCAAAGCCGTATCGTATGTATTTGAATTAATTATATTATAGAGAGTTATTTTGCAAAGTACGCCTATGGAATGTGTCCACTCCTCTTTTCTTCAGACTAAAGTAAAGGTTATCAAATGCTGCGGTTTGTAATGCGTAATTAAAAGGATCTATAAATTAAAGCTATTTCGGTGGTTTATAATGCACTGGTATGTTCGTTATTTAAATATGCTTCTACAATTTAAACTTCTTGCATACCTCAATAATTGAAATAATGCACTTACAGGTTGACAATGACACTTATGAGCAAATTTTGAATAGATATTAACATTAGAAAACAGCAGATTATTTATAAAAATTACTTTGACTTTTACTACTAAGAAAGGCAATGGGTGAACAAAATTACATAAAATATAAACCACGCCGACATTCAAAGATGGTAGATTTTCCCGTAGGTCACAAATTTGAAATCCGTGGCACTGTATAATATGTATGAAATGCGCAAAAAGAAAGAATATGTCTCTGTAGTTTCAGAATATATTTGAAATTTCCAGAACATGTCTTTGGAGACTTTTGAAACAAAGGAGAGGGTTTAAATTCAAAAAGGAAGACAACAGGAAAGTTTTGTATGAAAGAACTGGTGACGTTCATCAAAGAAAACAATTTTTGAGAAATTATGCCCTCTTTAAAGAATAGTATTTTTCAGTTGTTTATTCAGACAAAACTAAGATGTTTGCTAAAAACGGAACTAAAATAATTTGATAGGAAGAGTTTAAAATCCATACAACACGTCAATTGCGAGAAAAAAAGACAATATTGTTGTGATGCAGGTGGAAAATATGTTTTGTTGATAGAGCCGATCTTGTATTTTATCAAAATCGACTGGTTGTTTTGTACTATTTATTATGTAGATAACAAATAGTTTGTAAGATTTGCCGAGTACCTCATGCTCTATGTCAGGACGTCCCAACCATTTCACCGCGCCTATCTAAGGGAGCAGAATGTATTCGGATATTCTGAAGAAAAATCTATTTGAACTATTAAATCCACTCTTAATTATTATTATTTTTAATACAAAATATGACCAATCTAAATTCCTTTTAATATACATGTCATCGAAACTTTTGAAGTTCAGAATATGCAGGTGCAAACATCGTATAAACACAATTTTATTATTTAATTTTTAAGTAGAAATACGTAATTATTTTTAGGAGTAAATACCAAAGTTATAATTTATTATTGAGAAATAAATGTCTCGTGAAAATAATGTTTTCTTATTATTACAATAAAAAAAATTATAAGGGGGACATGAATATATTTTTATAATCCAGGGAGGTTCAATGCAAAAATGGTTGGGAACCCCTGCTTTATGTTAAGGTGGTGATCTTACACCTTTTCCCAGTAACATTTTTTTTTCAGGTTTAGAAAGCAATACGTTTACAATTTTTTTTGTTTTTTTTTCAGATCCCTGCAGATCTCGACAAGAGTTGGCACATTCCTAGACCCACACTAGCTCGCAGCTCGAAAAGTAGTCAAGGCTCCACCTCAAGCAATAACAGTACACAGGTAAATATAAATTAATTTCAACAATTTATTCGAGATTGTTTTTCAAAGTGACAATTTATAATTAAATGTCACAACTAGGAAGAAGTGGTTTGCATCATTAAATTCCTCTTTAAAAGCTCTACAAAATGGTTTTCAAAAAGTCACCGCTGAGTTGTCCGTAAGACCAGAAAATAGGATTTTCAGATCAAATTTGGGGGAATTTTAAAAGAAATAAGTGTTTTCGTGAAATAACTTGACTATCGTTTAAACTAGGATAGTTGAATTTCTCTTTAAAGTTCTAAAAACTGGTTTTTACTAATTCATGCTAGGTTGTCTGTAAGGCAAGAAATAGGATTTTCAGATTGAATTTTAGGAGAAAAACGTTTTTTTTTTAAATAACTTGACTATCGTTGAAACTAGGAAGAAGTGGTTGGCATAGTTAAATTTCTTTTTAAATAATAGACGGAGCTAGCGGCCGCAAGATGGTACGATCGTACCTCTGGAATTGTGGCCCAAAATCTGTGGGGGTTGATATGTATTTCTTCCTCAGTTTTGCCTAAAAATTTCTTGTATGTAACATCATCATGCTTTATTTTCGCCCGAAGGTTTTTAAAATCATCAATGGCCTGTACATTACTTTGAAGCTTGTATATCCTTTAAATCAATTTTATTTTTCATAATATTAATTATTATTGTTGTTTATTTATTTTAAATACATTTTATTTAGCATAATAATAATTATGTTATAATTATGATAAGGTGTATTTTAATAAATAAACGTATTTTTTTCCAAAATAAAAAAATGAAAAAAAAGGTTGCATTCATCGTGAATTGTATTGTAAATTTCAACTTAGAATTGTCTGATGTCTCGTTTGCACAGGTTTTAAATTAAATCCTAGCAGATGACACTTCCTGGTGGGCTCCTACCACTTCACACAGTTCCAGCTGAATGTACGATCGTACCACCTTGCCACCGCTGGCTCATAGACTATAAATAAGTGCCTAAAAATAATTCTTTGACAGCTTAATTCTATTTCCAGAACATACTAGATTGCAATATTAAAAATAAATCAGTATAAGTAAATTATACAAACACATTTTTCAATATATTAATCACGAAAACAAAGTCTTTTGACAGTTCAAGTTTAGTGTCCAGTTTTTGCAATAGATTGGTTAATATAATTTCAACTTTATTTCAAAAAATGTATGTGTACCTATATATGGAATATTTTAAACTGTAGGTACACTTTTCGATAAATATTGTATGAAAACTAACAACGTCACCCCCAAGGTACTCACTCATTAGAGTGTCATTTGTAAAGTTCAAATAATTAGATGAATCATTTTAGTGTTTTTCAACCATAATTGATAACTATCTCTAATTTTGGTGTATAGGAATGTATGATAATACCAATAACACAAATTCTCAATGATTAATTAATGTTTTGAATTATTGTAAAACTAACCCATTTAATATTTTATTAAAAACAAACACAGATGCTCACATATTTGTGAAAAAAAAAATAAATATAAAAATATTATACCAAAATTTTAATCTTTAATATTTTCAGACTAAATTTAATGTGATCTTTTTCTTTTATTTTAATACATCCATTATTTTTGCACTACTTTTTAAAAACCGAAATCCCGTTTATGGTAGACGCGTAGTTGCCATTTACGAAAATACCTAAATTTGACGATTTTTTTTTCGCTGTCGATTAAATTTATTGTAAAATATAATAATTCTAACAATCTACAAGCAATAGATGCCATCAAATCGTTTTTACCTTGATTTTAAAATGAAAAACCTTCAACTTGAACTTGAAGCAAGAACACATAAATATACTATAAATTGTACGTGTTAATTAATGTCACTTTTTTTCCAATGTACGATTATTAGCTATATTTATTTGTTTCATAATGGAGATACTAGGAACACATAAAAAAAATATTGTAATTGTAATTCTACGTGAGATTAAGCACAAAATAATTTATCCGAGACGTTTATGTAATAAATTTGATTTTTTTTCTAGTTATGTATGTTTATTGTGTTTTAATGATTGCTAGATGAGTAATTACTATATTTGAAAGTAAAATAGTTAAATTAGAAGTATACAATAATGCTCTACCTATAATTCACCCTCTTCCGAGTGAATTTAACTCCAAAAACTGACTCACCGTGGCGCTCCGAGGCGACTTAAATTTGATGGTCGTACCATTTGATTTCGACACCATCATCGAAACTTTAACGCACGGCGATTTATAATCTATTTGTCATGTTGTATCAACATAAATTAAATTACTGCTAATACGGAACCCATCAAATCCTACAAGGAATCATGCAAATTAATTAAAAATGCACATGGTTTTGTTTAGGATCTGAAGACAGTGTTGGCCAATCACTAAAAACCCTGTAAGTGAATAGCGGCATTCGACATAACTGCGTTACCGAGACGAACATTTGCTAAACATGTGCCTAATAATATTCAAATTGCAATACTTAAACTTAATTATGTCCTAAGTCATAACTTTACAACGTTGCCACGTATCAAACAAGCAACAAAAAGCTTTAAATTGTAAATGCCCTAAATGACTTTGTCTCAAATTTTTACTCATCTATAATAACAATGTTCCCACTTTTTTGATTATATTTGTACTTGTCTCGCATCGTTCCCGTTACCTACACAATATAGTGAAGTTATCTACAAAATATATTTCCAAGTGAGCCATGAAAAAATCACGTATATTGGAGCGTAGATATTTTATTCTTGACCATTCGAAGTACACAGTATAGTTTTCAACAATACCCGTATCCCTCGTGACTAAATGTATATCATCAGTTAGCTAAAAGTAACATTAATAACTTTAACCCTAAAACAATGTCACTAACTTATTTGACAGAACTGATAATTAAATTGCAATAATCAGATCACTTGGAATTCGGGTATTGTTGAAGATTCGATACATTGTCTCGTAAATACAAGCATACAGAGAACGTCGTATAATGGATAAAGCGTCGTCTACTAAAGCAAATGATTGTGAGTTCGAGTCTCGGCACATACAATGTTTTTTATGTTGAATTTTTAATATATTTATATTTAATTTTATCATAATCATACAGGAGAGATAGATTTGATTTACTACTTATATAAAAATCTTACCCCCACCGTACCCTAACGAAAGATGGAGGGGGTGACATCCTCAAAAAATTAGGTTGCGAAAAATTAAAACATTTTAAAACACAAATATAGACATTCGCACCGCCAGATAAGTCCTAGCAATTTTCGTTTGCAAATTTCCTTGTTTAACTAACTTTAAGTATTTAAAACAAATTATGAATAATTTACTTAACGTATGCGGCCTACTACCAACTAATTTACCTAATCATAAATAAGACAACATATAAATATTATTGTGATAAAATTAAATGTGTAATTGAAAAAGAAATAAAACAAAAAAGGTAGTAGGTAAGTACCGAGACTTGAACGCATTCCTTGGTTCAATAGCCAACAACTTATCCATTAGACCATGTTCGCTGAATATGTATGTTCGCTTGTATATGTAAGACGGTGTATATATACTATACTTCATCCAATCATTTGACATCGTACTACGAAAATACAAATTTCTAGGACTCCTTATGCCATGGGACTCGTGCGGATGGTTAAAGTCATGTTCAGAGTAAGAGCGTCGTGCGTCGCGATGCGATAGCGTTGCGTCGAGCGACGCATCGTTAGTAAAACAACCTAGTATTACCAAATGCAAACGTTCAAAGTGAGAGAGACCAGACATGCGATATTTAAAATATAAATCGCGTCGATCGACGCAACGCTATCGCATCGCGAGGCGTGCTGCCCCTACTCTGAACAAGGCTTAAGAGTAAACTATATGTTTTCGGCAGAGTTTAGCACAGTAGTTTCAGTTAACTACATAAAACATGATTTCAAGACAGTGTTATTAATAATGAATAGAATATTGATCCTTCTGTTGAATAAAAGGACTCTTAAATATGACAGCTATCAAAATTAGTTATTAGGCATTCCAAACAAAATGACTGGCCGTTTGAAATGACCGGCCACTGCCAGGTACATGACAGGTTTATAATATGGCAAAATCACATACTTTGATTACTATACGGTGCAAGAAAGAGGTCCGACACGCCCAACATAGGGCGCGGCCATTTTGATTCCTATGCCACAGTTTATAGCTAAAGAATCAGATCGCTCACTCTGCGTCGGTACTTTTGATCTCAATGTTCCAGTTTATACACTGCGCAACTCGGATAATACAATATATGACAACCGCCTATAATAAAACAGCAGTCTTCTGGGTATCCTGAATTTGTATCCATGGAGTGGATGTTATTTTGGAACTTTCAACTGGTCCGAGTGAGCTAACTGATTCTTTAGCAATAAACTGTGACTCCAAAAATAATATTCACTGACACTGACAGCAGCAAGCAAAATATCAGATGCGTTTTAATCATCCGCTTCTGCTTCCGGAATTGTCGGTTTAGTCGTTTAACCTGTCAGATTAAAACAAGAAAACAGACAATTCCGAAGCAGAAGCGGATGATTAAAACGCACCTATTAAAAATATTGCGCCAAGATGTAGGCAACACGTAATATGGGATCAAAATGGCGGAGTTTTCTATCTCCTTTTAAAAGGCACTCAGAAAGCTGCGCAGTGCGACCATTCTCCGTATAGTAAAAGAAAATCAAAGTATGTGGGCAAAACACTGTAAGCCTGGTGGTTTGATAGGGTCAATGATATAGATAGTTATATAGATTGATCATCCATGGATTTCAAAATAAACATAAGCTGATGCCTTGAAGTAAAAATGTAGGCAATTATTTTTTTTAAATATTCAAAGATTGAAAATCGGTTTTAAAGCACATTTTTGCCAAACCGATTCAAATTATTGAACACTTGCTAGGCAATATGGCCGCTCGCAAACGACCCGCTTTGAGTAATCTATATAACTATATATGTATCATTGACCCTGAATATAACAACATGCCAACAGGGTTGCCATATCTAAACTGTCAGATCCCACTGGTAGCCATTTGGACAGGTCGTTGGAATGCATAATTCAACAAATAGTTGAATGTGTTACTGTGACCTTAAAACAGTAAGATAATTTATTAACATTTAACATTTTTTTGTTGACAGAGTGTTAGATCCGGCTCCCTCCTCCTAACGGCCGCCAATCTAGCACAGATCCACCACCTTCAACAAGACGACAACCAAGATGCCACGGAACCCACCCCAGCCACGACCCGCGATCAAAATATCCGGTATTTCCTCGAGAACCAATTGGGAGGGCCTTTGTCGGCATCCATCGACCTCGGTAAGAAGAAAATCGAACCGGATAGTGTGTCGGTAGCGAGCAGCACGCACTTCACGGTGGTCAACATGAACTCCAGGCAGCAGAGGCCGCCGCAGAGGAGCTTCTGCAGGAAGCACCAGCTGACGATACTGGTGCTGACGATGTCGGCTGTGTTTACTGTCGGAATTATGACCGCCATATTGCTTTTGGAAAGTAAGTACTTTTGAATTTATTCTTCATCTTTTTTCTATAGCTAACTAAAATCCTCTTTATGAAAAGGATAAATTGTAGAGTTACCGCTGCCTAATTACTTGGTAAAATACTAACTTTAGGAAGAAGTTTTTTCAGTCAATTTAAAAAAGCAAAATAAACTAATGGGTGTCTCATAATGGGTTTAAAATTTCAAACCAATAAAACCTGTCTATAGAACCTTTAAGAAAAATTTCATTATGTTTTATACAGGGTGACTTTCTTGAGCAGCAGTAATGTTTTCAGCCGATCTTGCAGTACGTTGTGGTCCATGCTTGGGCCTATCACCTACAGACTCTCTTTCTTCGAAATCATTCACTACACGATAAATAGTGCGTTTTGTTGGCACGTTGTTTCTCCCAAAAATTTCACGTAACTTTCTCATCGTCACAGTAATCGATGATTGATTTTGATAAAATGTTTTAACGATTAAAACACGTTGGTTTATCGAATATTTTTCCATAATAAATTTGCCACGTGTCTACTTCACGACTGCGAAATATGAACTGTGAAGACTAATGTTTACCAAAATGGCGGCAAAACAAAGTAGTATACCTTCCCGGCGGACACCCTGAATGAAATATCGTTTAAATGTTGGGCGTCTTGTTAGTACCACTCTGTTAACTTAGAGCACTGATTATGGAAAACTCGCTACTACATGACCACAGGAATATCTTGAATGGCACTGATGATGCGGTCCTTTAGTTGCTGGATGGTTTCTGGTGCCGGATCAGTATAGACGATACTCTTCAGGTATCCTCGTAGGAAAATATCCAAGGGTTTCAGTTCGGGGGATCGTGGATGATAGGAAATATCATGGAAATAACAGTACCAGGAAACACTTCTGTAATCATTTGATTTAAAGAATCAAACATAAGGGTTCGTTATTCTGCAGGCCACGGTACCATGGCCCATGGCAACTAAAATCCGCATATTAACCAGTGTTGCCAATACCAGAAATAAATATCTGCTAAACAAATGTCAAAAATCTGCCAAATTTGGCACTGAATCTGCTAAATCCGCCTTTATTTGTATCTTGTAACTAGAATAAAATTCAATTAAACATATATTAATAATACATATTTTTATTAACAAAAAAAACTTAGTTTGATAAACACAATACATTGTATATTACATTTTTTCGAATTTTTTAATATTTCTAGAATTTAATATTAAAAGATTAATAACTTTTCCATCTGCTAAATCTAGCCATAAATTCGCTAAGTTGGCAACACTGATATTAACGCTAGCTACTTTGCGCAGGGACGGTGCCAAAATAATTTAAAACCATAAATCCATTATGAGACACCCTTTAGATTAAATGTAGCTAAAAATAATTCGTCATATCTGTCATGTTAAATAAAGATTACTTCGTACTCTGTTATAAGAAAAAGTTGAATAATTTACTTTTCATATAAACGACATATGTTTTTAATTTTATTTAATGTGGCACTAACTACATTAGGCATTCCAAACAAAATGGTTGCCTGTGGGCATAGATATGACAACCTTGTGGGCCTGGTGGCTTTGACAGGGTCAATGATAGATAATTATATAGATTGATCCGGGAGGGGATCGAAGGTCAGTGTTGAACAACTGGTTCTATATTATTTTGAATTAAAACCTGCCTTTTAATTGTTTGTTTTTATGTTTCGTCAGGGACGATTTTAGGGTCGTCTTGTTTTTTTACTGAATACATTCTAATATAAAAAAACTAACCAATATTTTTCTTATTTTTCAGTAAGGGCTAAGAACCAAAGGTTTTAAAACACCTAAGAAATCCAAGTACAACTTTACACTTCCAGTTTTTGGTCGAAAGAAAAGGAAGACAAGCAAATTATAGTTAGATTTGTCACTCTTTGGCAACTTTTTTTTGCCAAACAGTCATCTGCTTCTTACATTTCTGTTTATGTACGAGTGCCTTCTATTTTGATTTCTAGATTTATTTTTGAGATAAATCTATGATTGGAATATTAATTATTCAAACTAAAGGACGCTATGCATATAGGGAGAGTCATTAGTAAGTTCTATTTTTTTACTTCGCCAGCAAAAAAGTCTCTATGAGAATTGCGCGCTTTTTTTAATAGAACACCTAAGAAGTATTCCTATAAGTCAATGAGTTCTCAAGAGGCTATAAAATTATAGCATTGTGATGATGTGGAATAAATAAATCAATAAAATTTGGTTTATGGCAACACTAAAAGATTAAAAAAAATTGTTAATTTTTACATCATCCTCACTATTGACTCACTCTATAAGTGTAATTGTGATTTTAAGCTCTTAAAAAAGACCGTTAATAATCACTGCCGTTTTAAGATCTCCAAATCGCACAGATATAGTTAAATTCATCACTTTACGGTGCGTTCCAAGGCTCAAACTTAGGACCCTCACCTGTTCTTATATTTATAAATGATCTCTAAGCTACCGTCTCTTTCTAACGATGGTTTTTGCAGTTGATATAAAATGAACTGTCTTTTAGATAATTAAAAAATCAATTACGATTTTTGGATAGACGACCATTTTGCAGAATAATAACGATGAATTTAACTATATCTACTGTATATTACGCAGTCTAAACTGAGTGAAAAACCTAATTTTTACCGTTTTTTTCCTTATACTAGCCAATTTTATTTATATTCGTTCTTATTTAAATGTTTTTCTTAGTGTAGGTATTACGTATTTAAGAAACCATTTTTACCAGTGGTACCAAACTTGTATTTAAATAGCGTAAAGAGGTCGAGAATTAAATAATAATAAAAATTTGTTGTAATACAAATACAAAGTCGTCCTAAAGGTCTACAACAATAATTAATAATAATAGGCACGTCTACCTTGCATAAAACTGCGCTAAGAGTTATTAACATTTGTTTGAGACATTATGAAAGCAGGGTATTTATAAAAACTAATAAAAAGATCAGTTTGTGTTTGTATTGCCACACATTACTTAAATGATGACCTCTACAAAAGTATGTAGGTAATATTTTTACTGTGATATAATAAGCATTTATGTTTTTAAAACTATTTATATTTATGTAATTTCTGCATTTCCTTTGCAGAGATATAATTGTAAATTTGTGTAAAATTAAAATATAATTGAAAAACTCATTAATGTTTTATTTTTAGCTATAGCTATCCCAATTTTATGATTTTTTTCTTTGTAAAAAATCTCACATCTGGAGCAATGAAAGGAACATATTTTTTTTTCAGAACGTCCCCCGGTTCACCGAATACCGACGCGATATGCATTCTGGACAAGCAGGAGAATTAGTACACCGAAGTATAAAGTCACGGTGGCCTTATGAGTAAGTTCAGAATGGGAATTTGCTTCAATTTGGGTTAATTTTTACTACAGAATCCAATATTTTGAAATTAAATATTTAAGCAACCGTTTGAGCTATATGTGCTTTGTGGCATATTTTTTATTTGCCTATGCCATTTTACAGCCAATCCCATTTTGAGCAATGTGACCTCTGTTTTCATTTGAAATAAGTATCTGATTAAAAAACCAATTTTATATGAAAATTTATATAAAACAAACATCAAAAACTTAAAAATTAGAAAAAAATTTAATAGATTAAAAAATACTGATTCGAAGAAAAATAGAAAAAAATTGAATACTCCTTGATAAAAAAAATAGCAAAGAAGTGAAGTTACAAATGCTTACAAAATGTAAATTAAAATATAAAAAAAAGTATATGTCTACTATAAATCAAAACATACAAGATCTAACAAAAAGATGTACCTATCTGGGTAGTTCCAGCGAAATGGACAAATTCCCTGTAACCAACGAAAAGGTTTAAGGCCGCAGTATCACTGTATTTCTCATATAAGAAGCAAGGGTTCACCATTTCAGATTGCATTTAAATCCCGCTAAATGAATTAAAATAAATCTTCTACCAGCTTAAAGTATAAGGTTTGGAGAATGAAATCTCCTATTTTTTATTTGTCCTGTTTATACACTGAATTTAAAAAAAAATCATAAAAAGTGATTTTAAAACCAGAGGCTAAAAAGTAGGAGATTTCATTCTACATATTTTTCCAAGTATCCCGCCAAAATATTTCTAAATTTTATTGCGTATTTTTCAAATCTAACTGGAAATACGATTAACAAATATTTGATAAATTTATTTGTCAAATTAGAGATTTTCTATGAATTCCTGTAATTGTGTACAGTTCATGTAGTTCATCTATTTTTAAGAAGATGTCACCGTAAAAAACAGTATAGCTATTCTACTTTAGAGATGGTTTTAATAGGTAAATGATTGTTTAGAGGTACCAATTTTTGAAACAGTGATACAGGTGTATGCCGTCTTTTATTGTTTCGTGATTTTCATATATATTTGTCTCGTTTGGTTCCAAATTATCGATTGATTTTGCCTGTGTATGAACAAGTGTTGACCACGTTGCCAGATTATCGATTTATACGATAATTTCACAATTCTTTCTAGGACGAATTTGATTTTAAAGTGGGTGAAATATACAATAGTGAAATGCAGGAAAGGGAAGGAACTTTATTGCATTCCGATGTAAATTAAATCCGAATGACCTGGCATCATTGTATGATACGCACGTAATATTGGCGGTCTTTGCTTTTTTCTCCTGAATGTTATTTTATCTTTATAAGGAATCTTATTTCTGAGTTAACACGTTGACTGCTATGTGTATGTACCCATGTGTATGTCCTATTAGTGCGTAATTGTTCAATATTTTAATTTATGTTAAAGACACGCAAACATGTTTCAAAAAAAAAGTTATATGGATTTAAAAAATACATATTTTAAAAATATTTTTAGATATATACAGGGTGCTACATTTTTGCTTGGTATATTTTTAAAATAGAACATGTATTTTATTTCAATTTTAGAATGGTTCGGTAATACTGTATTCAACCTTAGAATAATTTTAAAAAATATTACAGGTCTGCCAAGCAATTAAATTTTTATAAAATTAGAAAATAATGCAGACCCTAAATTAAATTATCATAATTCAAAATTGTTTAATATACTGACTTATAGCACATTAAGATAACGAATAGTAGTGATAGTGCTGGATTCTTTTATAGCGAGTGTTTTGAAACGTCTTAAAATGGTTACTTTTAAGTCAAATTACTCAATTTTTCAAAGGCAGCATTTGATATAATATTTTAGCATACAATTCCTTATAAATTTGCATATCCAACGATACCAACATGTTAGAGAATAACATATATACAGAGTGTCTCATCAGTGCGTAATTGATCGATAGCTGTTTTATTATTAGAAATAAGAAAAAAAAATAATATAAAAGTTATATGACCATATTAAAAATTATTCCTATATATACAGGGTGGTCCATAAACGAGATGTTGACCAAACCTATACATTTTTAAATCAAAACACCCTGCAGGTAGTTATACATATTTGATTGTTTTCACGTCGTCAAATAATTTTAATTGACTTTATTCATTTGCTATGTTCTATATAGAGTGTGTCAACACGCGAGGTTACAAATGCTTAAATTTTTTTCAATGGAATATTATATTAATTGGTGGCATAACATATACAAGGTGTTCCATTTAGAAAATTAAGAAAATCGTGACCATTTTCACACATCCTATATACAACATAGCAAATGAATGAAATTGAAATTATTGAAACGATGTGAAAACAGTCAAATATGCACCTGCAGGGTGTTTTACTTTAAAAATGTATAGGTTTGGTCAGACAATCGTTTATGGATTATCCTGTATATTTATAAATAATTGTTAATTATGGTCATACAACTTTTATATTAATTTTTTCGTATTTCCTATTATAAAACTGCTATCGATCAATTACGCACTCATGGGACACACTGTATATGTGTTATTGATATCGTTGGATATGTTAATTTATAAGGAATTGAATGCTTAAATAATATACAGGGTGTGGCATTTGAAAAAAATTAAATAAATTTAACTTGGAATTAGCCATATTTAAGACTTGTTTTTCAAAACACACTGTACAAAATAATCCAGTTCTATTACCACTATTCGTTAGCTTACTATCTTATTACTACATTTAAAAAAAAATTGAAATTATTTTAAACCTACCTAAATAATGATAATTTAATTTGGGGTCTGAATCATTCTCTAATTTCATAAAAAAATTAATTTATTGGCAACCCTGCAATATTTGTTAATAAAATTCTAGGGTTAAATACAGCATTACCAAAGCATTCAAAAACTGAAGTAAAATACAGGGATTTCTTTTTAAAAAATATACCGTTTTATTTGTCAGACAAAAACGCAAAACTCTGTATGTCTAAAAATATCTTTAAAATACCTATTTTTGAAATGCATATAACTTTTATTTAGAAATTGTTTACGTGTTTACAACACAAATTAAAATATTGAACAATTACGCACTAATGGGACAACCTGAATATATTATTCACAATATATTTTATTCATGCGTCTATTAGATATTGTAGTTTACTAAGACCCAACCACAACATTTGCTTCGGCAGTCAACGTGTTTTAAATGCTTTTTTATTAATTTGTTGTTTAATTTGTATTTAGTTATTAATATTTCAAAAATGCTTATTTTTCTTATTGATTAATCTAAAATACGTAATTTTTATTTATAATTGAAAATAGTACTGGAATTCTAAATTGACAAAAAAAGTAGAAATATGAAAACATAAATTACGACTCTACAAATGAAGTAAAATTTTATGATTAATTTCTTTTTTCTTACAAAAACATTATCTCAGCAATATGTCATAAGTTGCATACACACAGTAGGTCTATGTAAGTTGATAACAAATGGAAAACTTTTTTATTATTTATTTTACGAAAAAAAGTTATTCTTCATAAAAATTTATGCATGGTCTAACAGAAAATGCAACCACCCGATAGCAAATTTTATCAGTCGGTTTTACAAGGTTTATCAAAAAATATAATTTTGCTCTCAAGATAAAATACCTTTATTTTCGACAAACCCTGTATACGACTGATAAAATTTGATATCAGATAATTGAAATTTAGGTTTTAGACCATGCATAACTTTTTATGTAAAGTAACTTTTTTTCTAAAATTAATAGACCATGCAATTGTTTATGAAAAATAAGTTTTTTTTTAAATTCTTAAAAAGGTTTTCCGTATGCCAATGACGCCAACTTACATATAAATGAGATTAAATTTTTTGAAAATATTTTTTACTGATGCTAAATAAAGTATTGTTGGTAAATAAGGTACATTTTTATTTGTATTCCCTCTAAATAAACCGAGAGAAACAATCTGTGAGTTCACACTGGCCCCAAGGGCCCTAAAAATACTGTTTTACGTTGACATATTATGACATTTCTCTTGAGAGGAATGACTTTTCTCGAGTTTGAAAATAGCCTCCCTGGTATAAAGTATCGCATTGGGAGTATCAGAAGTATCTACTGTCTAGCATAGAAATTGGAAATCATAGAATACATTATTCTAGAAGATCCAGCGAAATATTTAAAATGTACTAGATTTAGATACTTTTGTCTTTTGTGGTACTAGCATTTATGAATGGTTGAAATGTACTGAATCTAGTACAATTGTACTAATAAACCCAACGCTGCTACTAAATAAATATACGGACGTGCCGAATCTAATGCAAAAGTTTTATTTTTATACCTGTTTCATCGAAAATATTTGTCAAGGTCAAGAACTCGTTTAGTTATTATCGCGTAGTAGCTAGGGGTGATGAATTTGTTAGGTATTTTTTAACAGTTACCGTTTAGAACTAATAAAATTATTACGCCATCTGTTGAACAAAAGAACTATTAAATATGGAATATTGCTCCATCTGCTGAACAAAAGGATTCTTAATTTATGACACATAAATGACATCTATCAAAATTAGTTCATGTTACGAATATTGGGGGTGGTACTGTGGTCTTAAATCCAATTACAAATTTCAAACCCCTTTTTCAATGTACAGAGAACGGTGTTTTTTCCAATCGTAAGTAATGTCAAAAAAATCCCGTATGGATCCAACTTTATGGAACACACTGTATATACAATTTTTTATTCAATATTTTAAATAACTAATTTATTTTGAATTTAATATCAAGGTAGGTACCCAAGTTGTTTTTGTAACAAGTCCATTGAATTTTTAATAGCTATTTATGAAACCAGTTATGAAATGTCTCATTTTATGTAATGAGTGAATATTTACGGACGAGCAGAGCGAAAAATAAAGTAGAGACGAGATAAACACTATTTTGTGATATGACAGATGGACGCACTTTGAGTGATGGAAAAGTGTAATGAAAATGGCGATTTCAGTGGTACTTTCATTTTTATATTTGAAGACTGACGGAATGAAAATGTTTTTGTATCATTTAAATGAAGCTATGTAACAAAAATGGCATTTTTTTTTTTTTTTTTTTTTTCATTAAAACTGACTAGCTCCACTATCTGGAGTTTGACATATATGACGTAAAAGGGTATTGCAAAGCAAAGGTGCGAACACGTTTTTTAATATCCATTTTTCATGTAAACAAATTAAATTAAATTAAATCGGCTTATTTTCGATCCCAGAACTATGTTTAAATTTATCTTTTTGTTTCACCCCTGTATAAGGTAAAAAATTCTATATGGGAAAATTTCTACATATTGTCAACACTGCTTCTTTCTCTATGTGAAATAATGCAAAAGGTATAATAAATTATTTTTCAAATCACAATAAATTTGATAATGAAGTTTTTTTGACAGCTTTTTAGAGGAACCTCAGGTCGCAGTGTCGCCATCTGGTGAATGTTAAAATTTTAACCGACATTGAGAATTTATTTTGCAGTTTACTATATGAAATGAAGTTTGATTTCGCCATTGGGGTAGAGATGGCGGTACCAGTCACATTTTTGAATAAATAAATAAGACTTCAATTATTAAGATTTAAGAAACAAGAACCCCAATAGGGCAAAGACTGTCTGAAATCTTTAACCCTTAGCTTCTTAAATGCCAAATCAAATGGTATGATATGTCATTGGATAAAAACATAATTTCTAAATAAACATCCAAATATTTAAAAGTCTGTTCCAACAAGGAACAAAAGTAAACACTGACACCAGGATTCTGCTCAGTTGATTATTCGAATAGCCAAATTATATACTGCACTGAATCCTGGTGTCAGTAACTGGTTACTGATCATTGTTGGAATAGTCCTTCAATTAAACATTATTTTGGGAGTTTAGAGAGTGATGTCCTAACATAAAATTACTGTACAGGGATTTAATATTAATATATTACATGTTTATCTTAAAAACTAATTCACTTACCTCAATGTCGCCTAAATTTTGAGTCCAGGTATACTTCTCTAGATCGCATCCATTTCCTTTGTTAGGCAGCAATTTGCCCTTTTCAGATTCGTCCTCGTCTTCCTCAATCTTTTGGGGGGCCGGAGGAGTTGGTACAGGCGTGCTCGAAGAACTAGCAGAAGAGACGTTATTCTTAGCGTCAAGCTCAGCTTGAAGCTTAGCAGCCTCTTCCTCTGTCAGTTCTGTAATTTGAGCAGGTTTAACGGTTTCGGCTTGTGCTTTTTTGGCAGCCGCCGCTTTTTTACGGGCTTCTTGTTCCCGTTTTTCTTTTAGTTCCGCCTCGTGATTTTCCCTGCTCAATTTTTCGTATTTTTTGAAAGTGTTCAACACCAACTGTCAAAAAACTTGTATTACTTAAAATTCTAGACTAGATATATTATTTAATTTACCTTTTCCCACTCTCCTTCTTTCGCTCCAGTGAAAAAGTCAGTTTTTCTACTTAAAAAGTTCACAAAAGTATCCAAAAGCTGCAAAACAATCATTGTTTTCAAATTTTTCGAGGTTATATTCTAGAAATTTCTTACCTGCGTAGGCCCTTGGGGATGATGTTGCGCGATCGATAGGAATAACGTATCGAAATGTTCTTGTTGTTTACCATCACCACTCATTTTTATATTATTAATAATAAAAGTTCTTGAAAATCACGAAAAACCCGGAAAATGTTTAGATATCGACTTAACACGCGGTATTAAACGTCAAATTCAAACGTCAAAATCCATGTCCAACAACATTTTAAAATATTCAGTTACCATAGTGATATTTTCCTTCACCACAAAAAGTAGTTCGGGAAAATATTATTTGATTTGCGAAAACGACGCTTCTTTCACAAAGATTTTAGACTAATAATGTCATTGTGGTTTTGATTTATCAATGACTTTATTATATATGCCTTTTTTTCATAATTAATATCCATCGATAGGTACTTTCTTGAGGAGAGTTTCATAAGTTGGCAGCCATTATAATACTACATTCCATACATTCATCAAAATCGTAAAAATAATATGGCGGAGTGGCTGTGTAATTTTATTGTATTTTTATAATAATTTCTTTTACAATACATTTAAACCGCTATTATTGTTTGATTTAGTTCTAATTTTACGCAGTGTTCAATTTTCATTATCAGTACAGTTCTTATTTCTAGCATATCTGCATCATAAATAATTCCTTCAAAAGTTAGGTTATGCTAAATTGTCTCATGCTTTCATTGGAAAAGTACTAAAATTAGTAAAAGCATGTCTGCAAACATTTCAACCAACACGTCTGTAATGGGAGAGTTGTCTTCTATCATAAGAAAATGGGAAGATGAACAGTCGCAGCCAAATTATGATCCAGTCCCCACACTGTCAAGGTAAGATTCCTCTTTATAAATTTATTCGAATTTTTAAAGTTTCTTGTTGGTTTTTTCACTACTGAAGTATCGATTTTAATCCATATTTTTGGTCTTAACTTAATTGTTTTTCTCAATAGTAGGTACTATTATTATATTTGCTCTAGGTTGGCTGAATTAGTTGAAGTAGAGACTGAAAACTATTTGAAAATGGACCCAGATCCTTTTGATGAAAGACACCCATCTAGGACAGACCCACAGTGTATTTTAGGTCAAGTTTTGAAAGCTATTTTTAAGAAGGATAATTTCACTAGCAAGGTACAGTGTAGATTTGATTGAGAACGTAAATTTTTAGTTCATAAATGTATTATTTTTTAGTTAATAAATGATTATTTGAGAGACACCTATTTTTCAAGAAGTGGGATTATTGGTAAAGACATTGATCAACTAAATATTGCAGCATGTCGACTGATGTTGGATATTATGCCAGGACTGGATACTACAGTTGTATTTCAGGTACTGGATATCAAATTATGTATTCTTTAACTATATCAATAACATTTTTTTTTTTTATGTAGCCTGAATCTGATAGTTTAATTCTGAGATTAATAAAATGGGTTACGAATTCAATAGAACCTCTTCAAAGTTATGCTACAGGTCTTCTCGGTGCTGCCATGGAAATTCCAGAAATTGCTGCCAGATTTAGGGAACAAAATAGCAAATTAGTACCTTTATTATTACAAAGATTGAGGAGAATCAAAATTAGTTCTGATTTTGGTAATAATATCAATACAACTGCATCTAGGCCATTTGCTCATTTATCTACTCTGAGATCTCCTCCTTATAGAGGGGAAGGAATGATCAAGTCCCCACCTATGGGATTCCCACCTAGAAAGTGTAAGTACTGGGAAAACTATTTTTAAGAAACCTAGTTAATAGTTTTATTTTGAATCTTTGTCATTATTTGGCCATATTTTTGATTTTTAAATCATATTTGTTTTTTTATATTTATATTAATGACCAGCTCCTAATTCTAAAATTTTACCCATGGATCAGGGTAGGTTCATGTGAAATCTAGGCAAAATAAAGTTTTGGAATATATTTTTTTGACAAAAAAAAGTGCACCCTATTGATACATGCATTCTGTGCGAAACAAGACTAAAGTAAAATTTTACAACAGACCATGTGACCCAATTCGGGTCACACCCAAAAACTGATGTATCAGAGAAAAGCTTATTTTGTCCTCTTTTCAAGAATACTAAAATAGTACCATATTACTAATGTAATACAGTTCCATTCATCACCCTAAAATACCTTTTTGCTAAATATTTTGCTATCCTGTATTTATAGGTTCAGAGAAAAACAATAATAATGTAATAAGGTCCCATTTATCACCCTACAATTTTATAATTATACAATCATTCATTTAAAAAAAAATATTTTGGTGTTTTAAGCTACCCCTTATGTCACATTTTCAGAGGATGCAGGTCAAAAATATTTTTTTTTGTCTTTTTCATGATTACATTTGCAGATTTAAAGTAAAATAATTCAATAATTTTAAAATTATACAATAGTAAAAAGTTTCTTGATATAGTAAGCAAATAGTAAGTACTATAACCCTAAAAAAATTCCAAAATCTCGTAACCCATGGAAACTTTTGTATCCCAGGGACCAAATCAATTACTCTACACATTTAAAAACCATGTAGCTGTGTCCCTGGCAGTAAGTTGCCTTTGTTTTTAATACACACTTTTTGTTGTGATTATAAATCTATAGTAGTTTTTGTAAACCATATTTGAGTGTTTTTTTTTTTTTTTTGATGCTCAGCTCAGTACATATTTGTCACATTTAATAATTCCTTGTTTTATGTTTTTCATACATTATAAGCTATCAAGTGCTTTCCAATATGGTTTACAGAAGCCTGTGTGAAATCAACAGAGAGTTAGCATTAAAACAAGCAGGCCAACATTACAAAGCAGTCGGGCCTTATAAACTGGCAACCCTAAAATTATTCGTTTTCTGCTCACTCTAATGCTAACTATCTGTAGTTTTTGCATGCACTTTGGCAAAACATATTCGAAAACGTTCAATGGTTGACACTATACACCTATTTTTGTTTTTTAATTCACTTTCATTAATATTGTTCAAATTTAGTGATTATTTGAAATTTTTAATCTACTGTTCAGTTGTCAGTTCATATTTGTTTTTAATCCATATTTGTGGTTTTTTAATTTATTTTTGTGGATTTCAATCCATAATTGTGGTTTTCAATCCATAATTGTGGTTTTAATCCATATTTGTGGTTTTCAAACCATATTTGTTTTTAATACATATTTGTGTTTTCAATCCATATTTGTGTTTTTGATCCATATTTGTTGATTTAATTCATATTTGTTAATGGGCCCGTTCACTTTCATTTTTGAATGTGAATTAATTATATATTTATAAAGATATTAAACTCTTTTGTCTGGTGGTACTTTTCCCGTTAAGATATTTTTGCTAGAAGTAAGGGAATTCCCATAAAATTATTTCAGTGACTCATTGCGTCAGAAAACCCCTAATTCCCTTCAGGTCTCGATCGGTTAATAGTTAAAAGGGCGCGGTTGTCGGGTGTATCATTGCACCACCATTCCTCTTCTGCATTTATTAAAGAAATTTACATGATAAAAATATATTATTTTTTAAAAATAATGTGTTTATATTTTCAGGTAAAGCTGGAAGACTTACCTTTTTTAAATTTTAATAAAAACAATTAGTATTACTCAAGCTAAATATTACCAGATTAAAATTTTATTTGAGAAAATGCATCTGGTAAATGTGACAACGTTGTAAGTACTTCTAAATAGTGTTGTCTACACACACTTCTAGAAATAAATGCAACATTGCCACGTTTACCAGATAAATATTGCAAATCAAATTTCTACTTTTTGATTATGGTCTGGTTAATTTTCAGCCTGAGTAATAATACTTAATTGTTTTAATTAAAAAGTAAAAAATCTGAAAATATTAGTTCATGATGTTTAGAAAAATCATGGAATTTTACTATTTAAATTACATATATAAATGCAGAAATGGTATATTAGGGATACTTCCGACAACCCCGCCGTCTTTAAGCATAACCGATACGAGACGTGAACGGAATTAGGGATTTTCTTACGCAATGAGGCACTGAAAGAATTTTATGGGAATTCCCTTACTTCTAGCAAAAATATCTTAACGGGAAAAGTACCACCAGACAAAAGAGTTTAATATCTTTATAAATATATAATTAATTCACATACAAAAATGAAAGTGAACGGGCCCATTTATAATCCATGTTTGAGCTTTTAATCCATATTTGTGAGTTTTAATTTATATTTGTGCTTTTTAATCCACATTTGTGCTTTTTTATCCATATTTGAGCTTTTTAATTCACATTTTTTGTGCTTTTTAATCCACGTTAGTGCTTTTTTATCCATTGTGAAATTATTTAAAGAAAAAATAATTATGTGTTAATCTTTATTTTTGATTTTGAATCTATAGTTGGATAACTTGAATCTTAATTTATGTTTTGAATCTAAAGTTGGAATTTAGACCATATTTGTGTTAATTATTTCCTTGTTTTTAAGTTTTATAAACATTCCTATTTTTGTTTTCCATTCACACTTTTATTAATATTGGTCAATTTTAGTGATTATTTGTGGTTTTTAATATCTACAGTTCAGTTTTTCATTTCATTTTTGTATTTAATAATGCATATTTGTGTTTTTTATTTTATATTTTTCTTTTACATTCAGTTTCGTTCACATTTTTCATTTTTTTGCATTATATACAATTTTTAAACTAGATAAGTATTTTAGACTATATTTATGTCTTTTTCATTTTTGTCACATTTAAATTATTTTTCATATATACTTTTGGTTTTCAACCCATGTTTGTGTTTTTCAATCAGTTTTTTTGTTAGATTATTTTTAATCCCTATTTGTGGTTTTTAAACTATATTTGTAGTTTTTAATTCATATTTGTGGTTTTAATCCAGTTTCTGTTTCTAATCTTTATTTGTGGTTTTAAACCATAATTGTGGTTTTTAATCCATAATTGTGGTTTTTAATCCATAATTGTGGTTTGTAATCCATAATTGTGGTTTGTATTCATTGAGGTTTTTAATTTATAATTGTAATTTTTAATCCTTAATTGTGTTTTTAAATTCATATTTGTAGTTTTGAATCCATACTTGTTGTTTTATTCCATATTTGTGCATTTTAATCCATACTTGTTTTTTAATCCATGCTTGTGATTTTTTATTCATATTTGTGGTTTTTAATCTTTTGTTCTTTTTAACCTATATTTGTAGTTTTTAATCAACTGATTTTAAATCTACTCTCATTAGCTATTTAAGTGAAGAATAATTATTTAGTGATATATCCATAATTGTGATTTTTAATCCACATTGTGGTTTAATTTTGCTTGTGATTTTTTATTCATATTTGTGGTCTTTAGCCCATATTTGTGGTTTTTTTTTATCCTGGTTTGTTCTTTTTAACCTATATTTGTAGTTTTTAATCCACTGATTTTAAATCTACTCTCATTAGCTACTTAAATGAAGAATAATTATTTAGTGATATATCTATAATTGTGGTTTTTAATTCATAATTGTGATTTTTAATCCATAATTATGGTTTTAATACATAAATGTTATTTTTAATCCATAATTGTGGTTTTTAATCCATAATTGTGGTTTTTAATTCGTAATTGTAATTTAATTTTTAATCCTTAATTGTGATTTTAAATCCATATTTGTAGTTTTTAACCAATACTTGTTTTTTAATCCATGTTTGTGATTTTTTTTATCCTAATTTGTGTTCTTTAGCCCATATTTGTGGTTGTTGATCCTGGTTTGTTCTTTTTAACCTATATTTGTAGTTTTTAATCCATTGATTTTAAATCTACTCTCATTAGCTATTTAGTGCTATATCCATAATTGTGGTTTTTAATCCATAATTGTAATTTTCAATCCATAATTGTGGTTTTTAATCCATATTTGTAGTTTTTAATCCATACTTGTTTTATTCCATATTTGTTCATTTTAACCCATACTTGTTTTTTAATCCATTCTTGTGATTTTTTATCCATATTTGTGGTTTTTAGCCCATATTTGTGGTTTTAATCTTTGTTTGTCCTTTTGCAGACAGAATTGTTTTGCTAATATACTATGGGTGATAAATAGTTCTAAAATTTAATTATAATTAATTTTTTAGTTAGAGAAAATGGATTACTTTCCTCTGCTGAAAATTCGAGGAGTGAAATCCCATCAACAGCAACTGCATTTACCTCACCTGTAAGTAATTTTTCTCTAAGCTTTGATTATATTCAACATTTATTTGTAAAGTTACAGGATCAAGACCATGAATTGAAAAGAAAGAAAAACGTGGAAGTTCAAACATCACCAAATCCTAGAAACGACTTTTTTGAAGTAAGAAAAATACATTTGTTAATAACCATTCGTAATATATTACTAAATTAAATTTTAAAAATATACTCTTCTCTTCTAAAGCCTCCTGAGAAACGTCCCCGTATGGAAGAAGCTGCCATTTCTGAACAAGTTTATCTGGGAAGTCCCCAGAAGGCCGGCAGCGTATTTTCAGAACATAGTAATTCTTCATGGGCTGAATTGGAGAGCTTCATGATTGGTACTGTTCAAATTTTTCCACCTACACCTGCCACCAGACAAATTTTGATCCTAAGGTAAGTTGAAACGGTCTTTAATTGATATTTGTTGTTTTTAATCAATATTTATGGTTTTTAATTAGGGAGCGTTCAAGTATTACGTAACGCAATTTTTGGAGATTTTTAACCTCCCCTCCCCCCATGTAACGCGCCGTAACGTTTTTCTGTACCCCTCCCCCCCAGTAAAATGTTACGTAACACCACCAAGTGACTATTTTTACCTAAAAATCACAATTATGTGGCGTAAAGTACTGGAAAGTCGCTAAAATACCTTCGCGTTAATATTATTTATTAACATTTGAAATGTCTTTGTTTTAAAAGCAAGATATTTGTAATGTCTTTTTTTTTTTCTTTTTTTTGTCCTAATAAATTTTTAATAGGTAAGTACCAAAGCTCCTCTATTTACTTTTAAAACCCGGTCATACATTGCAAAGAAACGTAGCGTGTAGCTATTTCGTAAATGATCCGACATGCGTTGACTGGTGCGCAGTTGCCAGGATGTGTAGTTTATCCTTTTCATATTTAAAAATAGTTTTTACCTATAGCTCACTAATAGTAACAATTTTTATTAATTAGAATAGTTTCGAGATATATTGCGACATATCAAGCGTCCCCACCAATTCATTTTCGTACCTAGTGCAGTATCTCCGACGCATTGTAGGCAGAGATGTTGCAATATTTCTCAAAATATTTCTAATAGTAAGTCTCTGAATAAAATGATTGTAACAAAACAAGAAACGTATAACATGTGTACAAAGTAGATTAAACTATTTTAACTTCTTTCAGCAAACTTTATATTTTAGCAGCATCTATTTTTACACAATTATGCAGGGCATTTTTGTACCTATCGTTTTTACATACATATGCTTGCTAAATAACATCTTTGCAAATACTAAGATAAACTATGGCAAACATCATTATCATTCCTGCAAATAAATGCAAGGATTTTAAAAGCGTTAAACGTGACACCACCGCAATTTAAAATAACCTTGTTCCATTCATAATATACGTCATGGACGTCACGTATAGTATTTTATGCATCGATAGTTTGCGACGTTGCGATCCAGTAAATTGTTGCATATTGGATGTTTTTGTTAATCTTTAGACCTTTTTGGAAAAATTTCGGCTTGTTTATGTTCATCAGTGCATTTTGTGCAAAAAACTGGAAAATGTGGGTGCTGAAGTATCTTTTCATAAGTAAGTAAGGTTAGGTGATGATGTATTGCATATTTCAGTGGTGTAGATTTAAAGATTTTTGCCCTAATAGCACATGTATTATCTAGTTTTGTTTTACTATTAATTATTTTCTTTGATCTTTCAACGTTATTAATTTCACAAAAAACTGTAATTAATAGAAACACTTTAGTCTGGATTATAGGCATAGTTGCCCTGGCAAGTCAGCATGAGAGCCTTTATACGCCAAAAACGGTATAAATCTCTCTCTTTTGAGAACATTACTTTCTTTAACAATGACGGACACTACGACAATTAGGTCCAGCGTATTACGCAGCACGTACAATACAGTCGGTCGAATGCTTAAAGCACTCGGGGAATTCCCGTAAAAGAAACATAAACGAAAAGGGTTGCCAACTTGGGAGAACAAAATACGTACAACTCAATCGGGAATCCACCGTAAAAATAAACGAAAAGAGTTGCCAACTTGAGAGATTTTAATTCCCTAGTTTTTTTATTAACCCTTCAGACCAATCACCTTTCGTATCACAATCTTTACTGTTGTGATGAGAAAAAATGTCACACATAGAAAAAAGTGTAAGTAAATATTTTGAATATCAATATTATAATTTCTATTATAGCGATTGGAGTCTATGGAGACAGCCGAAGTATAACGAAGCCATCCGAATTGAGGTATTTTTTGTTACCTACTTTACTGGAGTGATGAGAAAAACAATCACAGCTGTTGATAAATATTTTTGTTGCTCTATATTTGGAGTTTAAAAAAGTTCACTATTCTGTAAAGCAAGCAAGCAAGCAATTTTGTGAAGGTAAAAAAATGTCAAATGGTCGCTCCATTTGAAATTTTGAGAAAAAAAAAACGTTTTAAAAAATGCGTAAGGGAATCTCTCTATGCGACTTTTCTGAAGGGTTAAAAAATAATAATGTTACGTAACGCGTAGTTCAAATCCCCCCTCCCGTCCCTGTAACGCATCGTAACGTTTTACAAAACCCCTCCCTCCCCCTAAATTCGTTTTTTAATCCATATTTGTGTTTTTAAATCCACATTTGTTGTTTTTTATCCATATTTATAGTGGCTGCATAAAATCAAGTTTATTTTTTCTGTAGATATTTAACGGCAATGGGAGATCACCAGGAATTTTTAAGTCACGTGTTTGAACATGACGCTTTAGAACTAATTTTGTGCTATGTCAATGTAAGGCAAACAAAGGAGGCCAGATTGGCCTTCGAAGCCTTGAAGTACTTGTCCGCTTTGCTCTGCCACAAGAAGTTTTCGATCGAATTCATACAATGCAAAGGATTAGAAGCATTGTTGGAAATTCCCAGGCCGTCCATAGCAGCGACCGGCGTATCAATGTGCTTCTATTACCTTGGGTACTGCGAAGAAGCCATGGAGAGGGTGTGTCTGTTACCAAAATATATAATCAGTAACTTAGTATGGTAAACTAATCACTATTTTAAATGTAACATCTTTTATCCAAGGTTTTTTAATGTTTAGGTACGCCCTTTGGCTTCTAGAATGTGCTCACGACTCTGGCAGGTGCCAAGCTATAATGTTTTTCAGTTTAACGTTTGAATTCAAGGTCATTCTGGAAGAGTTCGATTCTCAGGACGGGTTGCGGAAGCTCCATAATGTGGTGAGTTTCAAAATTGGCCAAATTTTATTTAATTACATTGATTTTTAATATTTTTTTCAATAAACTACTACCTATTAATCAGTCTAGCTTCAGTTGCTCTACAGCTCTGGCTACAATAACTTTATTAATTAATTTGCAACTTAAAAATCATTTTGCTGAATTGTATGACAAAGTTGCATAACAAATAAAACAATTGAAAACATTAAAACGAGTTATAAAGTTAATACATTTGTTATTTTTTAGTGTATATTTATGGTTTTTAATCCACATTTCTAGACATTAATCGGCATTTGTGGTATTTTGGCATTTTGTGGTATGGACATTTTTATTAGACTTTTTAATCATTGTTTGCAATATTTAACATTATTTGTGTTTTTTAGTCTGTTAGTCAATTTTAATCCATATTTGTGGCTTTTAATCTGTACTTACAGTATTTAAATCCACATTTGGGACTTTTAATCTATATTCATTGCACTTAAACCATATTTGTTGGTTTAAATCTATATTTATCGTTTTCAATCCATATTTCTGGCTGTTTATTGGCATTTGTGGTTTTTAAATTAATTGATTTTGTGATTTAAAAATTTTAATTAGGCTTTTTAATCCTTATTTGCAACATTTAAGTTGATTTGTGGTTTTTAATCGATTTGTTGTTTTGAATCGATATTTGTTTTATTTATATTTAATTTGTTTTTACAGTTTTTAATCCTTATTTATTGTGACTTTTTATCCATATTCATCGTCCTTAATTCATGTTTGAGATTTTAAATCTATATTTATGCTTTTCAATATATATTACTAGGTGTTAATTGGTATGTGTGATTTTTGAATTAATAGTTTTCATGATTTGGAAATTTAACCATATTTGTGGTTTTTAATCTGTGGTTTTTGATCCATGTTTGTGACTTTTAAATCATATTGGTGGCTTTTAATTCAGATTTGTGCCTTCTAATTTACATTTATGCTTGGTAATATACTTTTGATACTTTAAAATCTATATTTATGGTTTTTAATCCACATTATTTAGGTCTTAATAGGCATTTCCTGTTTTTATATTAACGATATTTGTGGTTTTCAAATTTTTTATTTGCTTTTTTAACCCTTATTTGTGATTTTTAACTTATATTTGCGGTTTTCAGTACATATTTGTGGTCTTTATTCTATATTTGACGTTTTGAAATCTACTTTTGTTGTTTTTAATCCATATTTATAGTCTTGAATCCATATTTAGCACTTTAATTTTATATTTATGGTTTTCATTCCATTTTTTCTGGGTGTTAATTGGCATTTGTTAGCGTTTGTGGTTTTTTTAATCCTGATTTGCAGTATTTATTTATATTTGTGGTTTTGATCCATATTTGTGACTTTTAATCGACAGTTGTGACTTTTCATCTACATTTGTTGCTTTTAATCTATATTTATGTTTAGCAATCCATATTTGAGACTTTAAATTCCACATTATTAGGTGTTAATCAATTGGTTATATTATTGTTGTGGTTTTCAATATTTTAATTTACTTTTTTACAGAGTTCGGAGGATATATATCAAGTGATATATATCATGATATATATTACGATATATATCATGATATTTATACCTTGATATATATCCGATATATTCGATAATTTTATTTGTTAAATTAAAAATGTTTTCCACTATTCTGAACATCCGAAAATGTCTCAATACGCCACTCTATAAAAGTATAATAACTAGTGATTTATATGTGTTTGTGTTAAAATATTTATGTTAATAAAATAATGTTAAAATCTGTTTATTTTATTAATTATTTTTGTTTTTCTTTTTAATTTGAGTTAGAATAAACGGTTTTGTTGTTTAGAATATAAGTTTTTGTTAATATGTTTGTGTTAAAATTTAAAATATAGTTTTTGCAAGAAACAATACTGTTTTTTAATTAAATAATTAAATTTTAAAAATGATATATCATGTGATATGATATTTATATAAATATCATGATATTTTCGAACTCTGCTTTTTTAATCCTTGTTTGCTATCTATAACCATATTTGTGGTTTTTAATCTATATTTGTCGTTTTTAATCCATATTTGTGGTTTTCAATCAATATTTGGTTTTTAATCTTTTTTATTTTTTAATAATTTTCGTGGTTTTATTATCTCATTTTTTGCTTTCAAATTTTGAATCCTTTTTAACCAATGTGCCCATACTACTGTTTTAGCATGATGTAGAATGTAGATGTTTACGGGAGAATGCGTTGATTATTTTAGGCAGTTTTTTACAAAAGCATGCTAAACAACATCCAATGGCTTGCATTTTTTCTTATACGTTCTGCCTTTTAAAATTATAGGGTGACGTAGTGTGTGGCGAGTGTCTAGTCTTTCTTATACAGCAGCTTACCCAGTTTGTTTATTTTTTTTTTCTTCGGATAAAAATACCTTGTTTTTAACAAAAATTCTAAGTCTTCATTGGTATTCAATATGTCATTTATGAAGGTCACAGAATCGGTTTATGTCCTAACTTTAACCTTTTATTTAACATTTTTCTTCTTATGTATTTAGAATTACTACTTTATATATTTTTACTTTATATGGTAAACAATATTATTTCAGATATCTACGTTGCCGATTCTATTGCCTGACGCTGATACCGGCCAGATGAATGAAGAGCAAGAAGGAGCTTATAGGCAAATAGTGAGGCACGTTTGTGTGGCGTATCGTCGGTATTTGGAATCGCATCTATATTTAAAGGTGGAGGCGCTCAGGAGGTCTCAATTGAGGCCTAACGAAAGACCTGCTCCTCCCATACCAGTTTTACCGTGTTACAAGGTAAGATTGTACTTGTAATATGAACAATCTTTATCATTTATCTACGGTTTACACGTTCTAGGAGAATATAACGGTTTTTATTATCCCATGTTGGGTGCCATTGTGTAATGGTTCTTACTGATTTTATATACATTTTACTGATGGTATTTAGGTTATTATGCTATTAAGCTGAAGATGTTAAGTGTATTATAAGAATTGATTAGTTCTCTACGATCTAGACTTATCTAGCACCAGAATAGAATACCAGGCGTCTCGGATAATTTGTTATTCAAAATTAAGAAGGATAGTTAGAAATTAATCATTAATACTTCAAAAAATTTCACGTAACAATAACCTAAATATTATTATTATTATTCTACCCACACGAGCGATAGATGATAATTTTAATTGAACAATAAATAAGTAAACTCGTTAATTTCGGATTTTCAATAATTCTTAGGCTTGCAAATCATCGCCCGAAGAGATCCAGCAACAAATCGAAATGCTGTTCCAAAATATGCCGTACAGGAGCCATTGGACACCGATCGATCATCTACTGAAGCTCGGCGGTATCACTTTGCTGTTGAAAATCATAGCGTTCGCTTATGAGTGGAACTACAGCGGTCGTGCCGAGACGGTCAGAAGCGCTTTAGACGTGCTGGCGATATCTTGCGTGATGCCCAAAGTGCAGTTGTTGTTTTGCGAGAGAGTTGACTTGCCTGAAGAAACTTTAACAGTTGGTATTAATATAATACTGGGCGCTGCCGAAGGGGAGATTGTGGCGGATGCTGATGTACAAAAGGCTGCTTTGAGAGTGATAGGCAACTGTGTTTGTGCTCCGATTACCAGGGTAAGAATATAAAAAAATAAAAAATTAAATAATTTTTATTCCTTCAACTACTTTCTTTATTATTTTATCGTATTTTTTTTAAAATAATGCTTGAGAAAGTTACTTATTTTAAATTTTTTAATTTGTGATTTTTATGATTGTCTTTTTTTAACCCCCGTTTGTGATTTCTATTCAATATTTATGCTTTTTGTTATTTTTAAATCTCTTATATTTTGAATTCATTTTAAATTTAATTTAATAACATGCTTAAGACTTTTTAACCCATTTTTATGGTTATTAAATTGCAACTTGTTGCTTTTATTTTCTGATTTTCAATCTCAGCTTATCATGTTTAATTCAATCTTTTAATCCCACATCCAAAATAATTTAACCCATATTTGGGATTTTAAACCATATTTGTGACATTTTAATCTATCCCTGATATTTTGAAACCATATGATTGACCAGCATAGTAGAATTGGTAGGCTTTTTCAATATAAGGCATTTTTTTTTCCATAAATATAAACCAAACATTTTAATATCATAGAATCACATTATTGTGTTTTTCAACCCATGTTTGCGATTTTTAAGCCATATTTAAAAATTTTAAATTCTTATTTGTAGATTTTCAAGCCATATTTAAAATTTGTTATCCATATTTGCTATCTTTAGCCCGTCTTTGTAATTTTTCATCCATATTTGTAAGTTTTCTATTCAATATTTATGCTTTTTATTATTTTTAAATCTCTTGTAATCTTTTAATCCCACATCCAAAATATTTTAGCTTATATTTGGGATTTTTAAACCATATTTATGACATTTTAAACTATCTCTGTTATTTTGAAACCATATGATTCGCCATTATAGTAGAATTGGTAGGCTTTTTTTAATATAATGCGTTTTTATTTCCATAAATATAAACCATTTTAATATGATAGAATCACATTATTGTGTTTTTCAACCCATGTTTGCGATTTTTTAACACATTTAAAATTTTTGAATTAAGTTATGCATTTTTAAATTCTAATTTGCAGATTTTTATCCGTTTGCGATTTGTAAAATCCATATTTGCTATCTTTAGCCTGTCTTTGTAATTTTTCATCCCTATCTGTCAGTTTTCAATTATAATTATTACTTTTTATCCACATTTGCGATTTTTAACCCAGTTTGTATTTTTTTTCATCCTCTTTGTTGTTTATAGTCCATAATGGCAGTTTTTAACCAATATTTGTTATTTTTTATCCATATTTGTTTTTACACATCAGTTGTCATTTTGTTATGTTTTTATCCATATTTAAGATTTATAACCTCCATTTGTGGATTTTAAATTCTTACATTTCTGAAACTTTCGGTAAAAATTAGTCATTTCTAATCCATATTTATTAACAGATTCTTTAAGACTGAATTGAAAAAAATATATAGGTTATTAATTACTAAACACCAGACACCATGGTTTGTTTTGGTGTTTCACAGGTGTCAAAATAATAAAAAAAATCAGTCCTACATTTTTGGAGGCAACAAAGGCAATCCTAACTTTTATTAATGCCTTCTCTTTTATAAAAACTATGGTTGCCTTTGTTTATGTTCACTCCAAAAATGTAGCACTGTAGTTTCTATTATGGCGTCTGCACGAGATTTTAATCAATCCTGTATTTAGGTTGGCGGTTCGGTTGCGAGGTTTTCCAGCAGCAGTTCCACCAATTCGCCGAACAAAAAACTGAAATACAAAAGTTCTGAAGACCTGATCCAAAGAGTGTGGGATTGTGTCCGATCTAACAGCGGTATCATGGTACTGTTGCAACTGATGCAAGTAAAAACGCCCATTACAGACGCCGATTGTATAAGAACTCTGGCGTGCAAGGCTTTGGCCGGTTTGGCTAGATCAGAAACGGTCAGACAGATCGTTTCTAAGCTGCCGCTATTCACCGGCGGGCAGTTGCAAAGTAAGTCTGTTAACCACTTTGTTTGATATTAATATTTTGCATTTGTACTGATCTTTATATGTTTTTGCATAATCCAGATTTGATGAGGGATCCAATCCTACAAGAGAAACGCCAGGAGCACGTTTTATTCCAAAAATACGCCATAGAATTGTTAGAACTCTTATCGGGTAAAGGCAAACACACTGATACTAACCTTGAAGCGTCTTTGGCTGATATTCATAGGGTGAGTCTCGATCGACCATATGAAAACGATTTATTTCTCAACGTGTATAATTTCAGGCGAGCGTAGTGGCTCAAACGAAGATCCAGTTCAACGATAGACAGTTACTGCAGTTGATCCACCATCATTTGGTGCAGAAGGGTTTTCCCGATACGGCTGGGCAATTGGTAAAGGAGGCGCATTTGAGTAATGCCATTACGTCACTGAGCACTCAACATCCCACTAAGTTTAGATATTCGTCGACTTTGACTCCATCTAGGGGGGTAAGTCGACTAAAAAACTGTCTTTTTGGTGTCCACATTTTTGTAGTATATGCTAATATTAATTAGAATTAGTTGACATTTGTCATTGTCAGTCTAACTGACTTCTGTTATTGTCAAATGTCAATCTGATTGACATCTGTCATTATCAAAGTCACATATGTTTCTTTTGTGGACAATCATGCATTGAAATAAATTAACATATTGTTTATAACATTTTAGGTTAGGTTATCCTTTTCATCGCCGAGAAATCTCTCTTTGATGAATTCTTTGGACTCGTCGACATCGTCTATAGTAAATGGGACCCCGCAATCTACGTCAACCATCAAAATTATAAAGTAAGAAAGATATAATATCTTTGGACAGCAAAAAATGTAAATTTTTATTTCTAGGAAACATCCTACTTTACCGACCACCCCTACTCCCAATTCCCGTCTACAGAAACAGATAAGCTTGGAACCGCACATCTGGCTGGGGCAAAGCGCCCTTCACGATGACATTTGTCCTTCCTCGGATCAACCTAGAGTCACTTTGGACTCTATCATTACGGAATATCTAACCAATCAACACGCCTTGTGTAAAAATCCCATGGCGACGTGCCCACAGTTCAATTTGTTTGTGTAAGTATAATTTTCTTGACGGCAAGTGTCAAAACATAAGTTAAGTGTCAAATTATAGACGTCACATGTCAAATTATATACGTCAAATGTCAAATTATAAACATCAAATGTCGAAATATGTAAACGTGAATTTCAAATTAGAATCGTCAAATGTAAATCGTGAATCGTTAAATGTCAAAATATTTGAAAATGTGATATGTCAAATATAAATCGAGAATCGTTAATTGCCAAATTAAAACGTCAGATGTCGAATTATGATCATCGAATGTCAAAGTATGAAAAACGTGGAATGTCAAAATATAAACGTCAAATATCAAATTATAAACATCAAATGTCAAAATAGAAACTTCAAATATTAATAAAGAGATGTTTTAAATGCCAAACAAAGCTACAAATAAAGAAACGTCAAATGACAGAGGATAAACTCCAAATTTCAAGTAATAAAACATATTAAATTCTTGTTTATAAAAAGTATTTGTAGATTATTTTTACTATCGTTTAAAGTAATCTAAGTTCATTTTGAAATCTGACAACCTAAATGTAAAAGTTGAAAAGTCAAGGTCAATTATCAAACCAAGAAACGTCAAATGTATAGTGTTGTGACATACTCTAGGTATTCGTTGTAATGTCAAATGTCAATATTGTTTTAGACCTCACAAATGTCCGGATCCCAAACCTAGGATAACCACGGCGAATAATTACGTAATGAGAAGCGCCAGGAGACAAATAGGTTACCAATCCAAAACCATGGATAGGAGGTTCGTTCATTCCAGATTTTGCGCCGCTAAGACCATCAGGTCAACGACTGACGAGGGATTTTTTACTTGTGCCAAATTCATGGTGAGTAGATACTGCTTTTTTTTTTAATTTATACATGATTATATTTAAAATGGTTTTACATATTTATAATTTGTTTAATTAAATATCTGGTATTAAGAAAGAAAGAAAATGTTGAAAAATTGACTTTCTAAAATTCCCACATCTATACAGATAACTGAAAGGTGACAGTTGACAATGACACATTTATAATTGACACTTGACAGCTTGTGCCAACTAAAAGGTGAAGTTGATGTGTGGCATAGAGACTATGTTGCCAACTATTAAATCGGTGACAACTGTCTTTTGCTAAATATACAAAAAAAAAATTAAAATGGGGAATTAAAAGACAATTCAAAGTAGAAAATGTCATAGGAATAATTTTGAGTAGATACAAATTGAAGATTAGAAATATAATTTACCCCACGTTAGGCGACAGCAAAATTGTTGAATTTCCTTAATTATTTCTACTAACAATAAATATAAGAATAATGATTAGGGTGTCATCTGTTGATATTTAAATGTATTTTTTCTTTAAAGCAAGTTTAATATCAGAAATGAAACAAAGACTTTCAAAACAATTGACAGACGATTGTGAGATGACTTTTGACAGCTGACAATGACAGAAAATTAAACGATGACAGTTGATAGATAACTAAAAGAAGACAGTAAATTCAAAGGAGACAGCTGATGGACAGACAATTGAGAGATGGATTTTAACAATCATATAATGGCGCAATTGACAAATCTGATCATGTTTAAAAAAAATATTAGGGTGTTATTTGTTGAAATTTAAATGTTTTGCCTTTTTAAAGCAAGTTGGATACTAGAAATTAAACAAAAACTTTCAAAATAATTGACAGGCGATTTTGAGGTGACTTGACAACTGACAATGACAGATATTTCAAAGAAGACAGTTGACAGTCAACTCAAAGGAGATAGCTGACAAACGGACAATTGAGAGATGGAAGTTGACAGTTTTATAGTCCCGTAACCAGTGTTATCAATGTGTGGAGAATTTAGGAAGGTTCGGTGAATATTGATTTTTCAAAGACTTCAAATTCTCTAGAATATTTCGACAATTTAATTTTTTTTAAATAGCACTGGTGATAGTTACCTGGTAATTGTTTTTTTTTTTGTAATAAAAAACGTTGGTTATTGTCTTGAAAATTTTTTCGTTTTTGCAGCCTGGTGACAAAACTTTAGCTGTAGGAGATTACAATGGAGAGATTCATCTTATCGATCTTTACAAAGGGACTGAGATCAACATGTTTACCGCACACGATAACTATATAGTACATCTGGAGCCAAACAGGACCGGAGATTTCATGTTGACCAGTTCCACGTGGGGGAAACCCGTATCGGCATTGTGGAATATGAAAACCTTCGAAATGAAGTAGGTTTTTTTTATATATACACAAGAAGAACATCTTTTATTTGTGATTTCTTTTTTATAGAATGCCTTTCGATGACGAAGAACACGTCGAATTCAGTAAAGTGACCCAAGAAAAGGTTTTAGGTACTAAAGGAGAGATAGCTACGGTAAGATATTTCCAGCTTTGTCGGACTTAGAATTTTACAATGGTTTTGCTTTTTTTCAGATATTTGATATCAATACAGGGCAGTCGATAGCCAAGTTAACGCCTCGCATTACGAATCAGTATACTAAAAATAAAGCCACTTTCAGTTTTAACGACGAGCTGGTGCTGTCTGACGGCGTGCTGTTCGATGTGGCGTCCGGTAAAGCTATACACAAATTGGATAAGTTGAATCAGACGCAGAGCGGAGTGTTCCATCCGAACGGATTGGAGGTAAGTGATAAATCATTTTTTAATAAATTATTGTTAATCGCAAAACAAAAATAAATGGGACTGCATTTTTTGTTTTGCTTTTTTTGTTGCTAAGAAAATACTGGGCGAGTCGCCCAAGAGTAGTACACTTCAAGAATAAAGAGGAATATTATTCTTAAGATCAAGATGGTTAAGGGATGTTAAATATATCTGCATTTTTTTGTATAAACGTTTTCACCTCAGTTTTAAAAAAAATTAAATTTTGTGTTAGTTTTAGGCTTTTAGGAAGCTTGTTAAATAATTTAGGTCCATAGTACATAAAGGAATGTTGGGTAGCAGTTTTATGAAAAAGTTCAGTTTTAATATCAAAGTTAGTTTTTGACCAAGTCTCTGATGATTCAGGGTAGTGAACTTTGATGAATCATGGAACATCCTGGTTAGGCAGTTGTAAACATATATTAAGTGAATATTTAGTAATTTAGTTTCTTGATATAAAATATTTGTGGAATGATACTTACTCTTTCTAAAAATTATTTTAAGAAGAACATTTTGTGAAATTTGTAGTGGTGATAGAGTTGATTTGAATGCTGCACCCCATACTGTGATGCAGTATTGAATTATAGATTCAGCAAGAGCTGTGTACAAAATCATAAAATTTTGTCTCGTTAGGATGTCCTGTAATTCATAAAATTTGTGTATTAAAATTCTTAGTCATTTAGAAACATAGTTGATGTGGTCTACCCATTTTAAATCAACAATAACTCCTAGGTACTTAAGAGATTTGGTTTTTTCAATTATAAAACGGTCACAATTATTGGCAGCAACACAAGATGGTTTATGCAGTTTAATATAAAAAATTTGAGGCTGATCTGTAATGATGGGAGAAAAAGTTATATATTTATTTTTTTTTTCATGTTTAAAGAAAGTTTGATATTATTTAACCATTTGTAAACGCTTTTCATGTTATGTTCAGTGGTAGATTAAACAGTATCCCATGTAGATCCAGTAAAAATTATGACAGTATCATCTGCATAGCATATTATATGACCTTCGAAATTATTTATTTTACTGATACTGTTAATGTAAATTTAGAAAATAATAGGTCCTAATACTGTGCCTTGTGGTACTTCTAATTGTATTATAGACTCTGAACTAAATGTATTCCCTATTTTAACTCTTTCGGTTCTATTAGATAAGTAGTTATTTATTAATTCTAAAGCGACACCCCGGATGCCATAGTTATTAAGCTTATTAATTAATAAGTCGTGATCAACCGTGTCGAAAGCCTTAGCCAGATCAAGAAAAACAGCTAAGCTTTTTTCCGATCTGTCCAAGGTCTCCACTGTGGTATTGACAAGGTCCATTATGTAATTTTCGGTATTTGATTTTTCTATGAACCCAAATGGTCTTTCTGTTATCACATCATTTTTATTTAGAAACTCCATTAATCTTCTCTTGTAGGAATGTTAAAAAATTTTTGTAATATTGTTTATTACAGAAATGTGTCTATAATTATTTAACTGAGAAGCTTTACCTGCTTTAAATATTGGTGTAACATTTGAAACTTTCCATTGCTGAGGAAGTTGGTCTATTAAAAAACATAGATTGATTATGTATACTAGTGAGTCAAGAATATGACAATGGATGAGTTTTAAAGTTTTTGCACTTATATTATCTGGCCCTGGTGAGGCATTCTTTTTTAAGTTAGAAATGATAATTGTCAGTTAATTTTTAGTAATAGGTTCTAGAAATAGTGAGCTGCAAACTGATACATCAGCTAAGAAATTTTTTGGCAACTCTTCATTTGGAATTTTCTTATTCATTTCTTTTCATATATTTATAAAGTATTTATTAAACTCGTTGGCTTTAGTAATATTATCAGTAATTATAGTACCATCTTCAAGTGTAATATCAACATTCTCAATAGATTTTTTAGTTTTTTTCTGCACTTATATTGTTAATAGTATTCCAATTTTTTTTATAATTAGTTACTTTCGACTTTTGGCATGCACTGGTAGGTACAGCATATGAAAATAATGGACTACATATTTGCATTTTAAAGACATCTTGCTAGTTGAACAGTTGGAGAGCAACTCACACAATCTTTTGTTAAAAGATTTTTCGATATGTCTTCTGGACACGTTGTTTCTTTATTTATTTAGAAACCATTTTATAAATGTCCAGATGTATGTATATCAAGTGACTTTTTTGTTAGCATAATATAGCCCGATTTCGTTAGGATTTAGAACATAGGGCTTCCAGGTGCCTCTAGAGCTGATTAGATATTGGACTTAAAATAGGAACAACTGGGAGTTGTTTTTCTACTCTTTGGTATATTTCTGTTATTTATGAATGGAGAAAAATATTTTCAGATAAAATTGTTTTGGGCATTTGATCTATAAGTTGTGCTATAAAGGGTGGGCCACCAGTAACGCCTCGGTTTGTATAGGCAAAACTATTTGATTTTTTTAAAACCTGTTTCCACAGTAAGATGTATATCAGAAAGGTCAACAATTAAAAAAAAAAAATACCGGGTTCTCCAAGAAAGTGATAGATATCAAAGTTTTAAATTTTCCTTACTTTTCTTATTATAAATATACGAAATAGTATAAGATTATAGAGGGAGTTTCCCAGGCTATAACCAGTTTTATATGAAAATCTTATTGATTTCAATGACCAATATACTGCAATTTTTTTGTAGCAAAAGGTTTTACATATTAGTCAAATCTTTATGCCGTTGCATGATTTTTTCAATTCTAACAAATCTGTACAGGGTGAGTCAAAACTCAAATACATCATTAAGTTGACTTTGAAACCCCAATACTGAGAGTTCGTTATTACTACGTCATTATTTTACCGATATTTAATTATAGTACTTTTAAATGATATAAAATACTGGGTGGTTATAAAAAAAAACATGATTAAATGATTTATTTTAAATTTTTACTCACCCTGTACAGATTTGTTTTGAACTGAAAAAAGTAGTGTGTTGGCGTAAATTTTGACTAACATTAAATAACTTTCACAGCAACAAAAATTGGTTTTCAACCGTTTTTTGCATTATACAGGGTGGCGCGCAGCATACGCATGGATTTGAAAGTGAAATAAAATGCTGTTACAAAATGATAATTTTTTTTAAAATTATTATATTAACAAAGTATCGGCCAAATGGCGCCTCCTACACTCCAAACACTGGTTAACCCTTTTTCTGAAATTTTCGTGCACTCTTTGAAGCATTTCCACAGGAATTACGGCGATTTGGACGTAATTGTTGCTTTTGGGGGCTTCCAGGGTCCTGGGACGATCGTTGTAAACCAAGGAGAGAAAAAACGATATCGCCTCAAGACAACGCAGCAACCATGTTTCTAGTAGCGAGTGCTCTGATTTCAAAATCACGTGGCCTTAATTCTGGGACTATAACCATCTTGTAGGGGTGCAAATAAAGATGTTCTTTAACCATACATTGAATAGAATGTCTTGAAATGCTGGGGGCACCTGCCTGTTTCCGAACTGAACGCCTTGGAGATTGTTGAAGTGCATCTCAAACACTCTTGATGTCTTCTGGGGTAATGGTAATCTGAGGCCCCATTCTTACCGTGGACACATTCCCAGTATCCTGGAATGCAATTATCTTAAACGGAAGGCATGGGGACGTTTGAACGGGCGTTTGAGAAATAAGTCTCCACACAAAAAATACGTTGATCAGCTCCATTATGGCTACTAACCAAGCGAGGAACATAAACTTCCCTTCACCCTCTCTCGAACCACTCCACTTTCAGTCGTCTAGAACCGATAGGAAATGAGCAATTACCTCTTGAAATCCATGCATCTGCCGCGCGCCACCCTGTACAGCTTATTAAAATCAATACGATTTTCATATAAAACTGGTTATAGCGTGTGAAATAGCCTGTATAATCTCATAGTATTTGATTTTGTTATAATGAGTAAAGCTAGGGAAATTCAAATATAAAATAAAATACAGGGTATCCCATTAAAAAAAAAAAAATAATAATAATAACTTTGAAATGTATAAATTTTTTGGAGAACCCTATATAATTGAATTTTTTTTTAAATTGTTGCCTTTTCTAATATAAATCTTGCTGTGAAACCAGATTTTGAAAAAATCATATAGGTTTTAACGATAGCCCATCCTGTATTTATAATGTCCTTAAAATGGTTGCTTAGATGTCAGTAATTTTTTTATCAATATACAATCTTATAAATAATAATTTATTTCAGATCGTATCAAATACCGAAGTGTGGGACATAAGGACATTCCATCTTTTAAAAACTGTACCCATTTTGAATCAGTGTTCTATAGTATTTTCGCCCGTAACTACCGCCATCTATGCGTTCGCTTTGGAACAAGAAATGGATGACGGCGATTCCACTTTTGATACGAGTTTCAAGACTGTCGACGCCATAGACTATTCCAGTATAAGTAAGTCTTCTTTTTCATTATACTTATGTTACATATATGTAAGAAAACAAATGTCATGCCAACATGATTTTCCTATACTCTAAATAGCTGTAGCAACACTGTATAGTTGCCAGATCTCTTTGAAATCATCTCAAGAGAAGTTATTTTGGATTACGACTTTTTAAACTGCTTTAAATTGATAATACCACATTTAAAAGGTTTATTGAAGTATTTTTTTTTTTTTAATTCAGCTACATTCGATGTAAAAAAGAGCATCTACGATCTGTCATGTGACAAATTTGACACGCAAATAGCCATAGTGGAAAATCAAGGCATGTACAATTCCGTTCAAGAGTCTGTAGTGCGATTGTACGACGTCGGCAGAAGAAGAGACGATGAAGACGAACAGGTACTACGACCACTTTACATTAAAGAGTGTGGATTTTGTGGTTTTTTTCATTTGTAAAAAAAATGTGATATCAACTATTTAAGGAATACAATTATTGATCAATCGCTAAAGAAAAATATTAATCAACATACGATTTAAATTATTTACAATACAATATGTTGATCAATTTTATAAACAAAATCGATCAGTATCATGCATGTTTTTTTTTGTGATATTATTTGTTTTAATCAACATTTTGAGGAATATATTGATCAATCACGAAAGAAAAACATTGATCAATCTATGGATCAACTTCTTTATGAATATTCTAATTCAATTATTTACAATATAATAATGTCTTGATCAATCTAATAAAAATTTGTTTGATCGGTATGAAGGCTGTTTTTTGTGATATTATTTGTTTGTATTAACAATTTGAGGAATATATTGACCAATCAATGGATCAACATATTAATCAATATCATTGCCTGAAATACAATATTTTGATCAATCTAATTCACTTTTTATTCATTATCTATTTAACTTTTTTTGTGATATTATTTGATTGAATCAACAACTTAAGGAATATATTGATCAATCATAAAATAAATATGGATCAATCTATAGATCAACACATTAATGAATATTTAAATTAAATTATTTATAACACAATATGTTGATCAATCTTATAAAAAAAGAAAAATAGCATCAAGGCTGTTTTTTTTGTGATATTAGTTTTAGCTTTTCTATTATATTTTAACATTTAAATATATTTTTCGTTGTAGGTCAGCATATTAATGAATATTCGATTTAAATTATTTACAATATGTTGATTAATCTGTTAAATAATTTTTAAGCGTTTTTTGATCAGTATTTTGTTTTCTTTGTGATATTTTTTAGCTTTTTTATGCATCTTTTAGTATTTAAATATATTTTTCATTATGGATCAACATATTAATCATTAATCAATATTCGAATTAAATTATTTACAATACACTATGTTGATCAATTTAGTTATTAAATTATGTACGAGTATAAGAAATGTTTTAATTTGGATCAGGGCGGTTCTTTTGTGATATTATTTCTTTTAACCTTTTTATATATCTTTCTATTCAAATATATTTATTGTTACTTTCAAAATTGAAGGCTTTTATTTAATTTTTCTAACAATAATTTACCTTCAATTTGATTAGAAAAAAAATCATTTAATGTTTCAGTGCTAGATTTTCATTTGCTTAGTGTTAGTTGTTGTAATGGGCATAGAGATAAGTATCAATTTATATTCGAGGGTAGCTTATTTTCTTTTTAATTTCTTAACAGGAGGAAGAAGATGACGAAGAGGAAGACGATCTTGAAGGCAGTGACGACGATAATTCAGACGGAGATGGTAAGTTTTTCTGTTAATTTCCATTTTTTTTTTTTTTTTTATTGAGTAACGTTGGACTAACTATCTGTTCCAAAATAACGTTATTTAAAAAATTTCAAGTCCCACCTCTAGTTATTCTTGTATCGTATTCGAATCACATGAACTAAATGAAAAGTTAGAGATGGCAAGTTTTAGAGTAACCGTACCAAATGTTACAAATTTTGATTTTTGCCATAAACATTCGCCGATTTTTAGATCTTAAATATCATCGTTTATATTTATACAGGGTGCTCTCATTATTTCCGCTCCAAATGAGCAGGTACAGTTCATCAAATTTCTAGATGCTTTCGACGGCTAGACAGAGAAAGCACTACTGACAGGCATCCCGACGGATTTACGCAATGAAAGTACACTCTGCGCATCAAGTATTTCACTATTTCATTCAGACGTAAATGTCAGATGTAAATTTCGCTAAAACATTTCTTTTATTTTCGTTTGTGTTTTTTGCTCATTACAGTTTAATAGAACCTAAGTATGGAGTTTAATAGCAAATTAAGAGGCCGCGTGATTAACAGTCAATCTCGCGAAATAATAGCCAATGTTATAGAGTTTATGAGAAGAGAAAGAAACTTTAATTCTCCTTCAATACCATTTAAAAATGTAAATGATCGTGTTGCTGCAGCCACAGGAGTATCTAAAAACACTGTCGTCCGCATTTCTGGAGAGAAAAAAAGAATCGATAACCGTGAGAATTTTCATCACCAAGAAAAACCATTAAAAAACCAAAAACAGTTAATGATATAGATGAAGCTGCACAAGAATCAAATTTTATTTTTTTATTATTAGATAGCTATATTTTTGTTTCTGAGTTGTGTTCATTTACAGGCTCAATTTTTTTCCGTTTCTCCTTTTTGATTTTATATGGGGTTTCAAGTTGTTTTTGACTTATTTCGACGTAAATCACAACAACACACTTTTTTAATAAAGCAAACAAGTGTTAAGAGGTATATGTACGTGTAAACTACAATTACAAAAAATTGATATGAAACCACCAACAAAAATGTAAAGCTAGCTTCCGTACTAGAACATGGTGTCATTCGTCGAGATAATTTATCGTTCCGTTTAATAGATCAAGAAATGTAAATATTCCCCTGTTATTTTTTATAAAATAATAAGAGAAATAAATTTTTTTCTAAATAGTACAGTTTATTATTTTGTAGAAAAACAAAATTTTAGTAATGTTTCAGAAACAACCGTTATTAATAATAGGTACCATTTTCCTTAATAAGGTAGAAATAAAATATAAACTATTTCCACGATTTACAAAGGCCTACAAAAAAATTATAGGTATTTTCCGCTATCCTATAAAATTTATATTTTCTGACTCAATTTCAAAAGGTTGAAGGAATTCCAAAACACCTTTTATGGCATAATAATTATTTTCAATTCTACATACTATCTTTAGCTGCTTTTAAAAACGTTCTAAGAAAGTCCAATCAGACCAATTTAATCCCTAAACTATTCCACACTTTTAAAATTTAATTACCTAAAAATATTAAAAACTATTTAAAATTACTTGTTTAGCAGACTGTACAATAGCTATCTTAGTCACACGTAGCGCGTTCTCTGTCTGGGCGTCGAACACCTCTAGAAATTTGATGAACTGTAAACTAGAAGATTCGGGAAAAAATTTCAATTTAGTATCAAATAAGAACGAAGAAGCTGCATTAATAAAATCATCATTTTGACTATACAGAGTGCTCCAAAACGACAGAATAGATTCAAGGCCACTTTTTTTTAATTGCTGTAAAGCCTATTAAAGATGGAAACAAATAATAATTTACAAAAAATTATGCTTATTTTATGATTATGGAGCACCAAATATAGTCCAAATTATTTTAGAAATATAGGTGTATAATACTGAATTGGAACTTTTTCTAATTCTTCCATAGTATGTTTTTAAACTAGGAGAATCGAATTGAATTTTTCGCACCTAAACATTAATTTCTGCAAAACAGCAAGACTTTTCTGTGTCAATGATTTGACACATTGTGGTTGATAACTTTAATAATATAAAATATCAGAAGGCTTTTTCTTGTTTTATTCTTTCTAATTACCTGTTTTTTATTAATCCAATATCATATTAGTTCTTTTCGGGACTAACTATTCAATTGTGTTTTACTTTTCATATTATTTTTTTTTTTATTAAAATGGATAAACAATTTTATTTTGACATCGACATCGAATAACATCTTTGGCACAAAAACAAATTGTAATAAACTTGTACAAAACTCTAATTTACGTAGTTTTTATATTTTATATTTTTTTTATAGTAGCTAATAAGTCAAGCCCGATTTTTAAAAAGTGTAAACATTATACGAGGGTCGTTCAAGAAGTCCTTAACAAAGATGCAAGACAAATTATTTTAGATAGATTCTTTTTATTTCCTAACATAATCTCCTTTTAGCTGCATAAACTTTTTCAAACACTTCAAGTAAGATTTCGAAAGATTCTCAAAATAGGTATTTGTTTGAGCAATGACCTCTTCGATTGATGTGAACCGATGAGCAATTTTTTCAAGTTTGGAAATAAAAAAGTAACTGGGAACTAAATTCTGTGAATAAAGTGGATGTTGTAATAATTCGAACTTGAATTCCATGAATTTGGCTCTCAAAAGTGCACAGATGTGCGTGCACCCATGAATTTTCTAAATAAACACAAGTTTCTTGCTTAAGGGATCATTATTTCACCTCTGAGTAAAGTTAAAAGTGACTACAGGCATCTCATCCTAATTTGTCAGTAGTGGGGTAAAGTTTGCGCACTGCTGACACACCTTCAAACGATCTTAGTGGCTACTATTAAAGCTCAGTTGCGTATACTACTTTCGCTTAAAATAAATTTTCTAGGATTTTTAAAACGGTCACGGTCAGATGAATCACAAAATTTTAAGCAAATTACCTAAAATTTTAATCTTTAATAACGGTCAAATCGAATCCGCCCTCGTTTCTAAGAATGTTTTATCAACAGTGGCTATCATTTGTTTGTATTATAGGAAATACCAGAGTACCTACACAATGGATCAAACGCAATTATGTAAATAGGTTAAGTACTACAGAATTTGTTAAAATTTATTTGTTATCTATGAGCTAAAATGTATTGTGTTAAAAAAATTTATTGGGTGAAAAAGAATGGTGATTTTGCACTTGATATCTTTAATATTTTAATAAAATGTGAGGGTGAAGTAGAAGTGGTGAAAGTCATCAGCATACAAATATTAAAATAAGACAACGGAGGATTTTTTAATCCTTGTTACTATAACTACTATCAAACAAAATAAATATAAACAAATTAACAGAGTTCTAAAAAATCGTCATCAAAATCATCACTATTACTAGAACTATCACTGCTGTCTTCATTAACATTAATAATAACTGTAGGAATTACAACGTCATCCATTATAATTTCGCGATCTAAATATTTATCTTCGACATGTGCACATCTTTTTTCCAGTCTTCTTGGGTTACTGATTTAAATTCAATTTCAGCTAACATTGTTTCATGTGCTAATTTTAAATGAACATTCTTTATAGCTACATTATTTTTTACTACAACCCAGATCATTTCTATTGGATTTAAGTCTGGGTGGTATGGTGGTAATCTCAAAACTTTATGACCGTGTTCGGAGAATAATCTATCAAATTTGTATTGCTTGAATTTATTTTTATGCGGTTTGATTAATGTGTGCAGCTGTGGTTGTAATAAGGAAGGTTGAAATTCAATATAGTTGGACGTCAACCAGTTTATTATTTCAGCTTTATTTGAATTTGGAGCAGGATTTTCTATAACATTGTGATACGGTTCATTATCAACAGCTACAATAGCATTTGGTGGTAAATTTGGTATTAACAGTTCTCTTAGCAACTTTTCATAATTTTCTTGATTCATATCATTATGATAATCACCAGATTTAGCCCCAGATACAAAAATTAATAAACTGTTAGAAATAAAGCCCATGTTACCACCAGCATAAACTATAATAAGTCTCTTTCCTTTCGAAATGGTGGAAAACCTTTTGCATTATCATCACCCCAATTATGTGGTGATGTATGGCTACTATGTATGTAAGTTTCATCAAAATATACAATGGGATGGTTTTGAGAACGAAAATATCTAATTTTTTTAATATAATCTATTCTTTTTTTCCTGATGTTAATCCGTTCTATTAGAACCTATCTGTTGTTTCGCGTTTTTCGCCACTTGAACCCAATTTTGTTTAAAATAGTTCTTAATTTCCTTTTTTAATTTTTCTGTTTCGTGAAATCTATGAACTTTATCTCTGATTGTTCCAATATTGTAGGATGGAATATTTGTTACACTTGATGTTTTTTTTGCGCTTTTTTTGTACTTTTAAACAATTGTTTAGGTATGGCCAACGTAGACTTTTCACCTTTTGATATCTGGTCACCTTCTATAATTATTCGTTAAATTGTTTTTACCGAGTATCCTGTAGCTTCAGCAACTTGTTCTTTAATTTTAGTGAGAGTTTTGCGATCATTATTCACACATTGTCTATAAGTTTCACTATCATCGTTGTTTTTTTCAAAACTATTTGTTGCCGAGGAACATTTTTTTTTTTTTTTTTTTTTCATAAAATATTCGAATAGTTGAAATATTATTTCCTACCTAAATGTTTCGGCATTTTAACACAAGTAAGTCACTATTCAAAAGAAAACACTACAAACAAATAAAAATAAAATATAACTCAAAATCTGCACGCTACACAAACACAAATTCAAGAAAATATTGTCACGTTAAGCATGTTTTAAATAATCAGGGACCAGCTATGTACCGGAAGTTGAATAACAAACTATAACACTCTGGGCCTACATGATGTAAGAACTCTATACTGTCTTAAACTTGGCTTCGTAGACCTTAACTGTATAAGGGCTCTACTCTTGATGTAAGTACCTAACACGCATCTAAACAAGGGCTGAAGAAAACACTGTGTTCTCAAAAGAAATATAATATAATTACAACGATTATATAAAATATGTCTTAACTCGACATACACAATTGTAGGCTCAATATAATATAAAAGACAATAAAATACTTACTTACCAACTCCACTAATATTTGGGGCACGTGTCACAACCCTTAGCTAACTATTCAAAATTCAAAATAAAGACTTTAATTTAGACTATGAAGACCATGAGCTGGAGCTGTTACTGGGAATCTCCTACAAGGGGGGCCTCCTATGGGGAGGATCCTTCCCTGTGTTATCAAACTAATGTTTAACAATTATTAAATAATCAACCTTGCACATGATTACGATTCAAAACAAATTGTCGACATACTTAAACAAAGTTTTATGTACAGGATGTTATTTAAATAATTAAAATTAGGAAAAATATGAATTTATACGAGTCGTGACAATATTATCATCTACTGATCTCGCCCCCCGACAACACGGCTATTGTTTGCATCTCTCTTTAACAGTTACAGTAGGCGTTGACAATTGAAATTCGAAATTAACGCGCATCTCCTCTTCAGACAAATTAGGTTGCGATGCCTGTACTTGCTGATTAAACTATAAGGCTGTCGTTTGTTAATCTGTCAAATAAAAATACATGTAACTCAGAGGTGAAAAGATCGTCATTACCGCAAAAAAAATGAAACCATATGATTGATATAACTAAAACTATTAGTTGTCTAGTGAGTAATGACGCTAAATAAAAAGAAACCATTTCCGATACTACGAGCGCCATCTCTTGGATTTTCCAACGACTTACTGAACGATCCTCATATCTTCGATGATTTTCAAATTGTTAATTTTTCTTTAAAATTTCCAGACGGCGATAATGACAATCACGACAACAATGATGATGATAACGATGACAATGACGACGATAATTCGGACTCGGAAAGTTGGACTAGCCTTTCGAGTGGGTCCAGTTCTCTTGGAGCCGAATCGTTTTTGGGGGATCTCTTATTTGAAATGTGAGAACCGCCTCACGACGTCCTTTAGGCAGATAAGCAAAACGAGTGTGATTTTCAAGATGTAAATAGAATTGTTTGTAACAAAAAAGTGGGTAATTTATTAATAATTTCATTATGTTTACTGTTTGCAGTAGCAGAATTTTCGTTCGCCAGGTTTACTCAGGGTAAAATTTGTACCTGGTACCAAAAATGTTAAATAATGATATGTTTTTTGTTGTTTATAATTATTGTGAGTCAAAGTTATCCTATATTGTTTTTCATCATAATTTTTGAGTTTTTGTAGCATCCTTTAATGGTTTTACTTCAAGTCAAAGTTATACCGTATTATTTTCCTACATGATTTTTGATCTAATATCTCGAGGTTTTGAAATATCCCTTGTTTTGCTTTAAGGCAAAGTTATATTGTATAATTTTCCTTCATAATTTTTGATGTAGCTGATTTCTCTAAGATCTCTTGAGTTTCTGAAATATTCTTTAACGTTCTTGCTTTAAAGTGTCCTTTATCCCTCGAGTTTGTAGTATCTTTTAACTGTCTAGTTCTCCATCATTAGAATTTTTAAAAGGTCCCTTTAAACTTCTGAGTATTTAATGTTCTTTTACTCTTGAGTTTTACATCATTAGAATTTTCAAATATTCAATTATCTGTCATTTCAGTAACCTTAAAATAATGAGATTGGATGTAGGTAGCCTTTAAGCCTCGAGGTTTTAAATGTTCTTCAACTCTCGAGCTTTTAGGTGTACTTTAACTCTCTAGATTTTAAGTGTTCTTTAACTCTCGAAATTTTAGGTGTACTTTAATTCTTGAACTTTCAGAAATACTTTAACTCTTGAGCTAAGTTTTCTTTAACTCTCAGGGGTTTAAGTGTTATTTAGCTCTCGGCAATCTTTTAGGTGAATTTTAACTCTCGACGATCTTTTAGGTAAACTTTAACTCTCGAGCTTTTAGGTGTACTTTAACTCTCTAGATTTTAAGAGTTCTTTAACTATCGAGATTTTAGGTGTACTTTAATTCTCGAGCTTTTAGAAATACTTTAACTCTTGAGCTAAGTTTTCTTTAACTCTCAGGGGTTTAAGTGTTATTTAGCTCTCGGCGATCTTTTAGATGAACTTTAACTCTTGGCGATCTTTTAGGTAAACTTTAACTCTCGAGCTTTTAGGTATACTTTAACTCTTACGCTTTTAAGTGTTATTTAAATCTCGAGGTGTTAAGTGTTATTTGACTCTTTAGGTTTTAAGTTTTCTTTAACTCTCGAGCCTTTAGGTATACCTTAACTCTCGAGCTTCTAAGTAGAGATTAAAAAAAATGAACTCCAAGTTTTAATTTTTCTTTAACTTTACTTAGAAGCTCGAGAGTTAAGGTATACCTACCTAAATGCTCGAAAGTTAAAGAAAACTGAACACGTCGAGATTTAAATAATACTTAAAAGTTCGAGAGTTAAAGTATATCTAAAAGTTCCTCGAGAGTTAAATAACACAAAAAGTGCTTCTTATTTTTTGAGGTTTTACGTGTTCTTTAACTCTTTAAGCCTTTGGGCACACTTTAATCCGCAAACTTTCCAGTGTTCTTTAACCCTCGATGTTTTCAGTGTTACTTTACTCTCGAAGTTTTAAGTGTCCTTTAACCCACGAGCTTTTAAGTGTACTTTAACTCTAAAGATTTTAGGTGTACGCTCGATCTTTTAGTTAAACTTTCACTTTCGAGTTTTTAAATGTTTTTTTAACTCTCGAGGTTTTAAATGTTCTTTAACTCTCGAGGTATTAAATGTTCTTTAACTCTCGAGGTTTTAAATGTTCTTTAACTTTCTAACTTTTTGATGTACTTTAACTCCTGAGCTTTTGTATATACTTTATCTCTCGTTTTTAAAGTACATAATCTTCTTCTATGTTGTCTATATAAAAATACACTAGTGGAAAAATTAAGGGATCAAAAAAAATCTCAATTTTTTTCGATTTTTCGAGTGGCTGTATCTTTGGTAAAAATGGTCGTACGTGAATGAAAAAAAAAAGCAATTTGAAGCTTGAAGTGTCTAGTTTATGGATCTTGCCATAAAAAATTTTTCCAACCAACAATTAGCACAAAATCCTGATGAATATCGTGGATAGAAAAACGCGATCTTTCAATTTCTTCAAAAATTCACTCGCATGAAACAATGGCCTGTAAGATGCACACTCAACATTATTTATTTTTCCAATATTCTCAATGTGGCACGTGATTTTCTAAAAAACCTCAAAAATACCTGTTTTTCGAAATTCTTCAAAGTCATGCTAGGGATGAAAAAAAATGTTCTGGTGAAAGAACATGCCAGAACCTTGTAGATAATGAATCGAAGTTTCCGAAACCTTCCTTCCATTTTCTGAACGGCCATTGGTTCCTGAGATATTGACGAGAGAAGAGGAAATGACGCATTTTCGTTCATTTTCTGATAACTCAGCAAAGAAGGGTCATCTCGAGGCCATCAAAAAAAGAAATTGAAGCTAACTGAACCACCTATCCAATGCATATAGTGGTTATGTCGAGAACATTTTTTTCAAATCCGTACACTAAAAATTAAAAAAAATTCTATCCATGATATTCATCAGGATTTTGTGCTAAATGTTGGTTGGAAATTTTTTTATCGCAAGGTACGTAAACTAGACACTTCAAGCTTCAAATTGCTTTTTTTTTTCATTCACGTACGACCATTTTTACCAAAGATACAGCCACTCGAAAAATCGCAAAAAATCGAGATTTTTTTTTTGATCCCTTAATTTTTTCCACTGGTGTATTAGATCCAGTATTATTTTAATTGATCAAAAATACTTCTTTAGCTCACGAATTTTTAAGTGTTGTTCAATTCTCGAGCTTTTGAGTGTTCTTTAACGTTGGAGTTCCTAAATTTCTGTTTTACTTCAGCAAGCTCTTAAAGTTCGTTTTAATCTCGTGTTTTTAAATTTTTTACTCTTGAACTTTCATCATCAGGAGTGGATGATAAAAATATGTGATAATTTCTTCTAGGAGCGTATTTTTGCTGCTAAATAATGTTCATATTTTGTTGTATACAAAAAAATCTTCTCAATAATAAATTATTTCAAATATTTTATTTATTGGTAATTTGTGGTGCCTTTTCCTTGCTCTGCATTAGTCAAAATAAAATATTTAAAAATTAGAACACAATAAACCGACTTTTGACATTTGTAGAGCATCAAGGGAAGGTCAGATATCTTTGGGCATTTGACTTCGTTGACGTCTGTCAAACGTCAAAAATAAATTTATTCTGATTAGACTTGGCGATAGATTTTCTGTGCAATAAATCTGTCGACTTGATTATGAATAATGCGAAAATCAAAAAACACCAAATATAGAGACAGTTTTTCGATATAAATTTTATATTTGTAATATTTTTAATTAATGTCCTATAAATGATTTTTTTATATTATAATTTTTTGTGTGATTACTTGATTTTGTTAGTTATAATTAATTATTATGATTAGTAATTATTATGTATATAGTATTGTATTTAGGAATAAATTATGAACATGTGACGTACTTTTAGTTTATTTAATTCATAGGTTTTCTTTTTTTTTTTTCTGTGAATAAATGAATAAATTAAGGTTTGTAATAAACATGCCGCAGTTTATTATATTTAAAACCTCAAAGATTCCTTTTCTTGTTAGAGTATACAAAAAAATGGCTACTGGAACGGTAAGTAAAAATTAATTTTTTTCAATTTTTCAGTATATTTTTAAGGGAGGAGATTCTCAATTTGTCTGAATATTTGTGTATGTTCAGCGATATTCTTCACCAAGTTATCAGATTTCTATGATTATTTTTAGTTAGAAACCGGTTACCTCGGGGGTAGTACTATAAACAATTGGTCAAGATTTAATAATGACGTCCATAAAAAATAATTACACTTTTCATTTTTTTGTGTATGTTTAGCGATAATTCTTTAGCACATTGCCCTATTTCTAGTATTTTTATTGTAATAGATAGGGGGTACCTCAGGGGTGGTACCATATACATTTGGTCAAGATCTGATGATGACATCTATGACAAAATCAGCAAACTCAATTTGTAAAGGCATCTGCACGGTTTTGGAATCGGTTTTTTTAATAGTAGTTTACGTTACCTAGATCTTTACATGCGAGCACGGTTAATGTGCGAGCGACAACGAGCATGTTATATGAACGTGCGAGCACGTAGAGATCAGGTAACGGGCGTGTATCGTACAACGTTCTATGATATACTGCAATTTACTACGTTTTACAACCTAAAATCACATAAAATTTTATCATTTGACACCATCATTCCTGTCTCCAAATAATGATAGTTCAGTTACAACTGACAATTTAATCATAACTGTTGTTAAAATGTTTACCGGGCTACTCCGTTATGACAACCATAAACAGAGATTGGTTGCCACGATATAACATTGCAGTGTCATAAAATTACTTTTAAAATTTGTCTATATTTAAATCACATACTTTGATTTTCTTCTACTATACGGAGAATGGTCGCACTGCGCAGCTTTCTGAGTGCCTTTTAAAAGGAGATAGAAAACTCCGCCATTTTGAACCCTTATTACGTGTTGCCTACATCTTGGCGCAATATTTTTAATAGGTGCGTTCTAATTATCCGCTTCTGCTTCGGAATTGTCGGTTTTCTTGTTTTAATCTGACAGGTTAAAACGACTAGACCGACAATTCCGGAAGCAGAAGCGGATGATTAAAACGCACCTGATAATTTGCTTGCTGCTGTCAGTGTCAGTGAATATTATTTTTGAAGTCACAGTTTATTGCTAAAGAATCAGTTAGCTCACTCGGACCAGTTGAAAGTTCCAAAATAACATCCACTCCAGGGGTACAAATTCAGGATACGCAGAAGACTGCTGTTTTATTATAGGCGGTTGTCATATATTGTATTATCCGAGTTGCACAGTGTATAAACTGAAACATTGAGATCAAAAGTGCCGACGCAGAGTGAGCGATCTGATTCTTTAGCTGTAAACTGTGTCACAGGGTTCAAAATGGCCGCGCCCTATGTTTGGCGTGTCGGACCTCTCTCTTGCCTCGTATAGTAATCAAAGTATGTGATTTAAATACATTTTTCGGTAATTTCCAAATAGATGCCTTTTTTTATCAGAAAAATAAATAGTTAACGTTTCAATGGTTGATTTTCATTTCCGTGGTGTTACAGTTGTAGTGGGCATATAAATAAGTATCCATTGATTTTTGAGGGACGCTTATTTTGTAATTTTAAATAGGATGAAGACGATCTTGAAGACAATGATGGTGATAATTTAGACGGAGATTTAAGTTTTACTGTTAATGTCGCAATGAATTAATTGTAAGAACCGTTACAAAATAACGCTGCTTAAAAAAAATTGAGTCCCACCTCTAGTTTTACTTAAAACGTATTTGAATCACATGGACGAAATAAGAAGTAAGAGATGGAAAGTTTTATAGTAACTAGCTAATATTACAAATTTATTTTTACTTTAAAAATTCGCTATTTTAAAACCGATTTTCTATAATAACACCACAAGACAAGCCTTTAAATTATCAACAAAATTATTCTTATAAATGACGTTTATGTTTAAGGACGGTGGAACGTCATTGATGAATATCAAATTTAATTTCATTCAAAAAAAGTTGAATTAATATAAAGAGAATAACCCACTAAAAATATTTATAAAGCAGGCCTTGGAAAAAACACGCATGTCCGAGCGTACTTTTCTTCTTTTATTTTAAATAACAGTTTGGATTTAATTCAAAAGCGGCATAGACATGAATCGTAGCGTTGTCTGTGAGTCATAACCTACTTAAAAAAAGAATTGTGGTTCACTTGCTAGTTCAATAGTGTATAACAACCATTTCAATGAGGAACTAATTTCATCTCGAAATTCGATATGTCATCTGTGTTTATCATAAGTTTTTTTTAATATATTTCGAATGCACTGGCACAAAATTTGTAAATATTTCGGTCTCTAAAAATATTTATTTTTATATTAATTACAATAATTATTACAATTGTCGGATCAAATTATGGCTAAATGATACATTATATAAATTATTTATCATTATTTAATTTAATTCCGTTGAAAAAACGCGTCGTATTATTCCTATACACAACAAATTTAATAATTCAAGCAATTTACTGTCCACCATCTATCCGAGCAAATCGACCAGTGGCCCGGCTGCTTACATATCAATCCATTGTAAAAGTTTACTAAAGCTCACGCCATTCGCCTGTAGAAAGCGCTTCTTATACAATAAAACGGGGCCACGTTTCAAGCGGCTCGGAATGAATAGTATTGTTTCAATCGCGTGTTCGGCGAGTTCGGCGTTTACTTTTGACATTTTATGCGTGCTGAATTTTTGTTTGTTAGGTAGTTAGTTAGAATAGTTGAGGTATAATAAATTAAAAATCGTCCGAGAGTACGAAGCAAAATGAATAAAATAAACAATCTGTTACTGAAATCTTTTTCTACGCAATCTCGCTCGAGGAAAAAATCCAAACAAAGGAACTTGGAAGACCTCTTCCCGATTTGGAAATAACAGAAACGCAGAAGGCTTCCACGTCAAGTTCGTCAAACTTCAAAGGCCGGATAAGAAAGTTTAACCGGAATTTGTAATTAAAAAATAACTGGATTTGTGGATGTGATAAAAAAAAACGCGTTTTTTGTTTTGTTTGTGTTTTGTTCGGGGGCGATTCTTCGTGGACGATGCATGGTTTAACTGATTTGCTACACATTTATGAGAAAATTTAAACACGTGAAAACAGTAAGGACAATGTAAATAATATTTTTAGTTATTCTTTGCCTGGAAAATCAAATATACTGACTCATTTAAATTCGGCTTATAGACAAAATATTATTACCCACAATAAACAAGTTGATAAAAACAGATATATTTTAAACATCATTATTAACTGTATTAGATTTTGTGGTGCATTAGAATTAGCATTGCGCGTACATGATGAAACCGAAAAATCCAAAAATAAAGGAGTGTTCCGAGAAATGATAGATTTTAGTTCTGAATTAGATGCAGATTTAAAGGAACATTTCAATAAAGCAACAGTATTTAAAGGGACCTCTAAGACCATACAAAACGAACTATTGGACTGCATGCTTGACGTTTACCATGAAAAAGTGGCTAAAGAAATAAAAAAAAAAGAATTATGTAGCTGTAATTGCTGACGAAACTACCGATGTTGCTAACGAATTTCAATTGGTCATTATTCTACGATACATTACCTCCAGTAAGCCAGTAGAAAGATTTTGGAAATTTGTAAATTCTCTCGGACACAATACCATTTCAATAGCAAATTGCATTTAAAATGAAATTAATCCATTAATTAATGACACACCAAATAAATTGATCGCGCAGAGTTACGACGGAGCGTCAGTCATGAGCAGAGGTATGAATGGGGTACAAAAAATAATTAAAGATAAATATTTTTTAGCAAATTATGTTCATTGCTATGCACATCAGATTAACCTTATAATGAGCAGTGCAGGTTCAATTAATGCGTCTGTTCGGATTTTGTTCGCTCATTTAACTGGAATTTGTGCTTTCTTTCATCAAAGAACAAACGTATTGGATCATATAGTTCATAGACGATTACCCAAACGAGATGGAATTTCCAATCACGGAAGTTAATACAGTTTATGAATACCGAAATGAACTGATACACGTTATGGATATTTTAGAGAACAACAAAGATATTAAATTAAATTCTACGATTGAGCAAGCCGGTCCTTATATATTTAGATTACAGGACAGAGATTTCATATTTTGGTTAACAGTTTTTCATAAAGTCATGCCACATGTCGAAATAATTTTTAAGCAACTGCAGACGATTAATACCGACCCTATCAAGGCTAAACAAGATCTAAAAAACTTTGAAAATGCAATGCAAAAAAATTTGTAATGAAATGGATAAAATTATTGACAAAATATACACCCCACAAAAATTATCGCATCGCTAAAATGTTTGAAATGTATGTTTATAAAAACAGGCAGTGTTAAAAAACTGTATTTCTCCTCTAATAACAGAGAAAATAAAACAATCAAAAAAACAAAATTTTGCGAAAAGATGAGGCTAAAGTAGGCTATTAATTATAACATGCTATTGTTGCTGCTACACTCCACAGGGTGTTACGAATTTTCCAACCAAAACCTATATTATTGTAACACCCGGTATACGCTCAAAAATTAAATTTTATTTAAAGAATCAAAGAGATTACTATTCCTGAAGAATGAACTTATCTTCCAAAAAAAGAATATCCAAATCGATCAAACGGTTCAGAAAAAACTCCAAATTTTTGAAAACCATTAGTGATGCGATAATTCTTGTGGGGTGTATATATTCTGAGCTTTTAGAAACCGAAGATAAACTTGTTCCTCAGAAAAGGCAACGTTACCCTCGTTCCGATCTATCTGTTTCAACAAATAGAAAAATAAAGGCATTGGAAGTTTGTGATTCCATTATACAACATTAGGACACGATTCACTTTCACAGGACATCTGATAGCTACTGCATTATTCATGAAAGAACATTTTATCGAATACCAAAAAAACTTTCCTGATCAATTGCTCTCTGATACAGTTAACGCATATCAATTTATAGAAAAAAATCGTCTAAAAACATAACTGCAAGTACTCTACGAAAGAGAAGAGTTTCAAACCATTTCTGGAGCCATTCCTCTGTTATCATTAGTTTCGCAGGAATATATGAAGTAAACTTTTCAAGAAACTGATAAATTACTGGAAGTTTTAGTAACAACACCTATGTCAACATCCGAAGCTGAAAGATGTTTCTCTATGTTAAGGAGGATAAAAACTTTTTTTACGCAACTCAATGAAAGAAGAAAGACTAAGTGCGCTAGGAATATTATCAGCTGAAAAAGTGTTTCTAAATAACATTGATAACTTCAATAGACGAGTGATTAACCTTTTCGCTAATAAAACAGAACGAAGACTAGACTTCAAATATCGTTTAATAAATATTCTTTATTTTACTGTATAGGTTTGAAGTGCAATAAATTACTATTCAAAGCTAAATTCTGGTAAGTTTTTTATGTTATTTATTATTTTGTAAAAATGATAAATGCTCACGCTAATATACTTTAAAATATTACTCAAGATATGCTTTTTAACGATTTCGAGTCAAAATCTGGGCTAGGCACCCGAAAATGTTAATCCGTGGCTCCACCTATGTGATAAGGCACAAGCCGCCAAGGGGTTTGAACAAAATGAAACAAAAAAAGAGTATTTATTAAACTTTATTTTATTTTTAATTATGTACAAAAGTGTCAAAACTAAATAAAATTAGTTTCCTAACAATATTTGGCAGTCAAATTAAGTGAACAATAAGTCTACACCTATTGTAAAATAATCTAAATCTAAACAATTAAAAAAAAGCATTATATATTATTTTTATAGATCGTTTAAAACTAAATATTCTCACTCATACTTATAATTAATTTTAAATCATTAATTATTATTCCGTTATTTTCTAATATCCGACGAAAATACTCTATGAAATCACAAGCAATATTAATATAACAAATTGCTGCTAAAATTGTATTTTCCGCTCGGAAAATATACCTTTTAATAAGTTGAACAATAATTAATAGAAATCTGAACATAGTAGAGAGATACCGCTATCAGCAAGCATCAGACAGGTTTATGCGCAACGAGCGACCACTGGTCTCTGCCTGATATGTGCATGTTCCTTGTTCATCTTATTGTAAAGTATAGTTTCCTTGTTAAATATTCCATACCTGTATATAGAAATATCAAATTTGCGTTATTTTAGAGGCTATGACTAGATTAATAGATATTTGACTACTTAAAATACGTACATAAATTATTAAGTGATTCATAAAAAATGTTTTTAAAGAAGACATTGGAAAAAGTCACGCGTCGGATCCTAAAATTCTTCTTTTTCAATTTAATTTAGTTACCACGGACGTAATCGCATCTTTATCTTTGTCGGTCATCTTTAGAAACATTTTTGTGAATCACTCGTTATAATATTTGCATTGAATGATAACTTTGGAGTTCAAGTTTCATATGTCATTAAAATTGATGGAAACAAAATGATAAAATCACCAAAACCTCATATTTTTCGCAAAAGTGGCAACGTCTCAAAGTTGTCCTGGAATACTTCATGAAAAATAACTACTGAAAGAACTGGGTGTATAGATTTTGTTTTTTTAAAGTAAATATTTGATAACAGACTTCACGTCATATTTGACATGTTTGGGATATTTCTAGGTTAATTCTGTATACACCATTGTACATTAAAACATCAAACTAGTTAAAAAACAATATCCGTCATTCTACTTCAATTCCAAACATTCTACGTCTTTATGAAAATTTCAAACAGGTATTCCGCAAGGCCCGCTCTTTTATATCACTAAGAATAATGATCGATAATGTACTTTATCCATCCTACATAATTATAAACCGTGGTGTAAATTCCGTATTTTTGTTTTCTGCCGCAACCATCACCGAAACTAGTGATGCCTTGAACACTGTAGGTGGTTCTTCTGTTTCTTTTGGAGGGGCACATGAGGCCACCGCCGCTGTCTCCCGCACAGGTGTCGGCTCTGCCGGAGTACCATCCAGCGCACAGCATGTTGTCGCTGATTAGGAACTGTTTGTAGGATTTTCTGCAGGTTCGTTGAGGGACTATCGGAAGCTGAGAAAATATTAAAAATTATAATATAATACTAAATTTTGACTGAGAAAATTAGAGATTTTTAGACAATGTTAAATACTATTAAAAACCTAAAGAAAATTCAAGAAAATTTAAGAAAATTTTAGAAAATCTAAGAAAATTTAAGAAAATTTAAGAAAATTTAAGAAAATTTAAGAAAATTTAAGAAAATTTAAGAAAATTTAAGAAAATTTAAGAAAATTTAAGAAAATTTAAGAAAATTTAAGAAAATTTAAGAAAATTTAAGAAAATTTAAGAAAATTTAAGAAAATTTAAGAAAATTTAAGAAAATTTAAGAAAATTTAAGAAAATTTAAGAAAATTTAAGAAAATTTAAGAAAATTTAAGAAAATTTAAGAAAATTTAAGAAAATTTAAGAAAATTTAAGAAAATTTAAGAAAATTTAAGAAAATTTAAGAAAATTTAAGAAAATTTAAGAAAATTTAAGAAAATTTAAGAAAATTTAAGAAAATTTAAGAAAATTTAAGAAAATTTAAGAAAATTTAAGAAAATTTAAGAAAATTTAAGAAAATTTAAGAAAATTTAAGAAAATTTAAGAAAATTTAAGAAAATTTAAGAAAATTTAAGAAAATTTAAGAAAATTTAAGAAAATTTAAGAAAATTTAAGAAAATTTAAGAAAATTTAAGAAAATTTAAGAAAATTTAAGAAAATTTAAGAAAATTTAAGAAAATTTAAGAAAATTTAAGAAAATTTAAGAAAATTTAAGAAAATTTAAGAAAATTTAAGAAAATTTAAGAAAATTTAAGAAAATTTAAGAAAATTTAAGAAAATTTAAGAAAATTTAAGAAAATTTAAGAAAATTTAAGAAAATTTAAGAAAATTTAAGAAAATTTAAGAAAATTTAAGAAAATTTAAGAAAATTTAAGAAAATTTAAGAAAATTTAAGAAAATTTAAGAAAATTTAAGAAAATTTAAGAAAATTTAAGAAAATTTAAGAAAATGTAAGAAAATGTAAGAAAATGTAAGAAAATGTAAGAAAATGTAAGAAAATGTAAGAAAATGTAAGAAAATGTAAGAAAATGTAAGAAAATTTAAGAAAATTTAAGAAAATTTAAGAAAATTTAAGAAAATTTAAGAAAATTTAAGAAAATTTAAGAAAATTTAAGAAAATTTAAGAAAATTTAAGAAAATTTAAGAAAATTTAAGAAAATTTAAGAAAATTTAAGAAAATTTAAGAAAATTTAAGAAAATTTAAGAAAATTTAAGAAAATTTAAGAAAATTTAAGAAAATTTAAGAAAATTTAAGAAAATTTAAGAAAATTTAAGAAAATATAAGAAAATTTAAGAAAATTTAAGAAAATTTAAGAAAATTTAAGAAAATTTAAGAAAATTTAAGAAAATTTAAGAAAATTTAAGAAAATTTAAGAAAATTTAAGAAAATTTAAGAAAATTTAAGAAAATTTAAGAAAATTTAAGAAAATTTAAGAAAATTTAAAAAAATTAAAAATATTAAGGAAAATTTAAAAAAAATTAAGAAAACTTAAAAAATTTAAGAAAATTTAAAAAATTTAAGAAAATTTATATTGAACTAAAACGTGCAAAAAATAATAGATATGATAATTACATAGCCAAGGCAGATAAATTTAAAGCAAGCTGGCATTTGGTAAACTTTATATGACACAAATCAAATCAAAAAACTGTCAAATGACCAATAATTTCTTTTCAAATGTGGCGGGGAATATAATAAATTGATCCCAAGAAACAATTAAGTTTCGGGATATTGCGGGCCTTTTCCTGTAATTGAAGAGAAAATGAATATGAAAATGAAGATAAAAGTCTACATGTGGCCTTTCGGTAGTGGCCCAGCATTACGTTGGTTGATGATGGCCTTATGAAGACAAGTAACTGTACTTGGTAAAATTCAAAAGTCTTTTAACTGTCGCAGACCTAACTCCAACAGTCTAGGAGGGCTCCGTCTCGCATTTATAGATGGAGACACCGATGATCGCTTGCTACATACACACTATTCAGTATTCATTGTAATTCGTTACACGATATCCTTCTCGAAAAAGTTCAATTACTTAAGAGGAACTGCGTTGCACCTTTTTAACTTATACATCGACAATCGGTTTCAAATTGTATTTTATAATAACCGGCGGTTAACAACCGGTCGTATTTAAACTCTGTAAATACGGGAGTTCCACAAGGATCAATTCTGAAACAGTTAATTCATTTAACTAACTATTGCGTATATTATACAAATAAATTATAGTTTTTCAATTTATTTAAATTCTCTAAAGAATTCTCTATATATTTTTTTAAATTATCCATCATAAACTTTCGATCAATGATCTTATTTTTTTGAAGCATTATCTTTTTAACTCTCGAGCATTTTTTAATTTTAAAAAGCATGAAATTTTTGACTCTTACATGAACTTTTTAGCACTCAAGCATTTAAATATCTTTTAATTCTGAAGCTTTCAAGTAATCCTTCGTCACTCAAGCCTATAATAATATAGCAAAAGAAAGGTAAAGGAAAAGGCTTTCCTAGCCTCTTTAATCGCACTGGAGTGATCGGGTCTGAGGGAATGGGGTAGAAAAAATTGTGGTAGATACGTGAGAGGACGTTACTGACCCAACATTTGCATATTGCTATGAGAAAACCTTTTAAAAACTCATAGCAGGTCAGGCGGCAGTGACTACCTTCCGACTGCGAGGCAGAGCGTTAAAGAATTAATTATATTTATATGTTTTTACCATACCTTAGCTTCGTGTAATACTGGAACTCCATAGATATTCTCCGGATCTACTTTCCCCCAACCCATTACCGAACAAACTTGTCTGGTCTTCGGTTGACGATTGGGCAAACAAGCGGTAGGCGTGTGAACGGCCCTAGGCAACATTAAGAGGGCTATATCGTTGTCGACGGTTTTGTAGTTGAACTTGGGGTGGGGGAACATTTTGAACACTGTCATTTCGATGTCGCTACCGTCGGTGGCGCGAAGGTCGTGCGCGTTGAGACGAACCCGCAGGAATTTCCTGATGCAGTGGTTGGCCGTCAGGACCCAGCGCTGCGAGATGAGGGTACCGCCGCAAAATACTTCCTGAAATATGCAATAAATATTAACAAAGTATATTTAAATTTACCCACAGGTTCAACCTTAAAGACAGAAGTGTCATTATAATGAATGTCTAATATAGAGTTGGGCGATATTTCACGATCTGTTATTTAGAGTCGATCTTTTCAGCTTCAGATAAAATTCCAGGTCATTATCTAAAGGATATATTATACGAGCTTTACTATCTGACGGATAATTAAGTATTCGTTTATTCAAGGGAAATATGTAGGTAGTTATCCGTTCCAGTGTTTATTTGATTACTTTTTGGTCTATGGTAGTACAGTAATACCCCATTTATAAAAATGTTCATACAAAATCATAGTTCGACAATTTCAAGAAGTTATGTATTACGTTTTTGTCTTATTGGTTACGTTTCAGTAAATTATGTATTGTAAACTATTTTGTAAAAATGATTTGACGCGTCGATAAAACGTCAGATTACCTCTTTGTAAAACGTATTTTTGACGTCAACACAAAACTATCAATTTGACATTGTAAAAGGACGTCATTCGTCTGTGACTTAGGTAGTCATAATTACGTCATTTTGGAAGTCATCCTGATACATAATGACGTATAAATGTCGTCAGCTGATTTCCTGGGTTCATTCTGAAACACTGCTATGTTCATATCGATGTATTTATGCGTGCGATATGTCACTTGTCATTTCATTTTGTCACTTTAAAATTTGTACAGTTCCTTTGTTAGTCGAAATCTTTTATAGAATGATTCTGCGTACCCAAGAGCCTGTCAGCGCCAGGATTCGTACCCAAACATCTTTGTTCTGTACATAAATGCCAACCATATACAATTATACGAAACAAATAAGTAAACCACTATTTACAAAAACAACATATTCAACAACGTCCATAAAAGCAAATAAAATAATATGTTGACTCGTATCACATATTATTATGTCATATACCTACTTATTCATCAGTTAACTACTTTATCAGAAAGTTCAGAGGTAAGATAAGTTATCTTCCAGATTAAACCAATTTATCTGCCGGTTAGTTTTATCCAAAAGTGAAAAGATGAATTTTAAGTTATCTGGGAGATAAAAATTAGCTGACAGTTTATCTGAAGGTGAAAAGACCGACCCTTAGTAAAATAGATAATCGATTATCTCAAATAGGAAATATAGAACAAGAAAAAAAAACAAAAAAACAGTGTCACAGAAATTGCTTTAATTGAATAAATTATACGTATATGCAATTAGTTTCGTCATTTTTAGGTTATCATTAGGTCTAATGTTTTTGACAACAGTATTATTTTTTATTTGCAGTTTATTGTTTTGGGCGATTTTTTTTAGCTTATTATATTTTTTCAGTTTTGATACAAAAGCTCTTCTTGTTTAATTTAATATTACTTTGTTCCTGGAACGCGGGCTCATGTCTCCAAAATTTATTTTTCCAATATTTAAAAGTCACTTTTGTTTATACTCTATTTCAATTTTCAATCTCTATTTGCCAGGTCTCGCGATATATCCTGAGATCTTACGATTTTGCGGTTAATCTCACGATATCACTATTGTAAAAATTGTTTTTACTAATTTTTATATTTTAATAATATAATTAGACCTCAGATAAATAAATAAATAATAAAATAGATATCTGAATGTCAAAAATTTACATTGTGTTTGTTTGAAAGTAACATATACAAGCCAGTTGATAGGAGGGGATTAGCGGGGTTTGTTTACTTTTATTATCCAGTAGCGTATCAAATAAATGTCAGTAGAAATGCTATTGATTTAAATTATTTTATTAGTTTTGAAATATTTCAGTAGACCAATGTTTCTAATATGGGACGTTAATAGAAAACCGTCAAAAATGATTTTTTTTTATCCAACCTTTTTGAAAATGGTGATTCTATGGGAGAGTACAGTTCATATGTAGGATTCACTCTATCAGTAGATACAGTCGATGTTGACATACTCTATTGATAAAGAAAGAGCTGATTCATCCATTTTATTAGAGGGCAGGCAATAATACATTTTGAATGACATGAATTTTACAATCCCTAAGAAACACAATTTTAAATTAAAATTTGAAAAAACATTCTTATTATTTATAGTTCTTCAAATACTCGCTTAGTTTTAGATGTAGAAAGTTTAGGATGTAACGTAGTTTTCAGTTGAGGAACAGCTTCAGGAGATGAATAAAATGAGAGCAGTATTCCTTTCATTTAAAACATTTTTCCACCTGGAGACTTAGCAGTCAGAATCTTCAAAATGTTTCGAACAAATTCTACTAAATTCACTTACTTCATCCTCACGAATATCAATTCCCAAGATCTTCATCTACATATCCCTAGTTTGAGGATCTTTTGGAAACCTAAATAGGCATAAACAGGGTTTTCTTGTTCAGATAGACATGTAGGATTTCATGTAATACAGAATGCAACTAATTTATTTTACTTTAAAATAACTATGGTGCTCTATATATTTTGTCATTAAATTAAAGCAATACTAAGTACTTATAACTAAATGGAATGCCACTAGAGCCTTCTTAAATGTACAGTGTGCATAATTTTAATTTAATTCATTGACTGACTGATACATTCAAAGTTATTAAACACAGACACAATGCAATAATTCGAAATTCGACGTTCGATGTTATTTTAACTTTAAAATAAGTTGTTATTCAATCCTACCTTATTTTGAATTGATACCCCCTGAAAAAAGTGCGATGCAACGGTAATGGTTTTTATTTACTTGCCTATGAAACGTTATCGAACTGAAATTGAAATACTTTCTCGAGCACATAACACACTTCATTGGCATTTTAAAACAATTAAATGAATCAAAACTAATTAAACCACAAAAAATGTTCAATTAAAGTACGAAATAAACTCAAAATGAACGATGTCAGCACTATGAAGACTACAAAATTAACATAAAATGACAACTGTATTCCTGTCAATTTTTTGCTATCCAATCATAATCAAATAACATAACCAAAATAGCGAATATCCAATCAAGTCGTGTAACCACTGCTACATAGTGGTGGAAGATGCTGGTTACAAATATTGCATGAAAGGGCTATATCTATTATTTATTTATTGTATTATGTATGTATGTATGTACTGTATTATCTATCTATCTATCTATCTATTATTTTAAACTATGAGTCTCTTTTATCTCTAGATTTTCATGAGAAATGGCATATGTCAACGTGGAAACCGTTTTACGAAAGAATTAAAATTCTCCTTATAATTCTTAGTGTAGTTTTATATTTAGCTAATGTGTTCCGACAATAAATAAATTACTAATATTCATATTAAAAAAATAATTATGAATTGAAATATATAGGTAGGTACCTAAGTTACCTAGCTATTTATTAAAAAAAAGAGAAAAGCAAAAGAAGTTAAAAGATGGAACAAATACTAATAATGGTAAAAAGAAGTAAAAATTGTCAATTTTTTTTTAATACTTACTCTATATTGATTTAAAATAGCCACATGCCAAGGCCACTTATATCTTCTGGCTTCGATGCCACCAATGATTCGTAACATTCTGCCTTTTCTGTTAGGCACACCACATCTTTTTACCCTCACCTTCCTTCTGGGTGGCTTCATAGTGGTATTTTGGGGATTACTATCATACTGGTACCTTCTGGCTTCTAAAAATAGTTATTATAATTATTTAAAGATTTGTACTTGCTTCTATTCAAAATTAAAATCAATTTTGCACACAGTAGCTTTAGTGATGCTGAACAGTAGTTTAATCAATAATTATACATATTGTTGTTAGGTTGACAGACACTAAATTGAAAATAAAATCTAATTCGGCAATTAAAAAAATATATTTGAAAAAAATGCATTTTTGATTGAAAATAAAAATGGAGGGTAATATGGAATGATATAGGGTAACATGGAATATGCCCATATACGGAAAAGACTTTAATACTTTATGTAATACCATTTTTTCGGCAAAAAAGTAGCCATAATTTTTGTACAGTAAAAATTTCAGTTACCTCATACTCAATGGGTAATATAGGATAGCAATAAGGCGAGAAATGTGGAATATTCCTTAGTAGCCGCTCCACAAAATTTAAATAAAACTGGTTCTCTATTTATTATCATAGAAAATATTTAACCAAGTTGTCAATTTTTCCACTATCTTATGCTTAAACAAACTAACCATGCTTTTCAAAAAAATTAATTTCTTAAAATGTAGTCACGGCGTTGATGGCGTATAGATGCAATTTTATATTATAGCAGAAGCCTAAAATTCTAAAGAACGTTCTAATACCTCTACTATTTAAGAGAGCAACCCGATTTAAAAATATGGAAAATTCCATATTACCCGACTATTCCATATATACCGATTTTAATTTAAAAAAGCCATTCTTATTGAACCACCCGGTTCAAACTATTTTTGTAAGAATACATTTTTGTCACAAATTTACCCCAAGAAATAAACTCACCATTATTATTACTATTGTGATTACTATTATTGCCCATAAGATTAAGTACATAAACTTCACATTTGGATTTATTGTGATAACAGTACGCGTGTTCTTTTTGAAATTTCTTCCCGCATCTGCTGGACTTCTTGCATTTCCTCGTCCTAAACGTCCTGCAATTCCTGCTACACGCCGACCATTCCGACCACTTGCTCCAAATGTCCGACGGACCCTGTTTCATCAAATAGTTGCTATTCTAAAAAGAAATAAATAATTATATTGCACTGGATAGAACTATAAAGAATATGAATAATTAGACACAATACCTAATTATCTCCCTTGGGATGCCTCAAGAACCCAATTTCGGCCTTCTATCAAACGCGTAACGCTTAACGATATTCTTACCTTATCTAAATGCACGATTTGGAAATGGTCCTTCTGCCTGGACTTTCGTTTGCATCTTTTTTTGTTGCAAGAGCGTTCTTCGTATATTCTGGAACCTCTACAGGAGTAGTTGATGCATTCTTTCATTCTCCTCTGCAAGCAGTTAGAGCATCTGCTCCAGAAAGACCAGTCTGTGTATTCTGGAGTGGAATCTTTGTGTTTCGAGTGGTTCAACGGTGATAGGGTGGATTCTATTTGGAGATCATAGCTTGTGTTGTGATGAAGGTTTTTTGTAGATTTCTGTAAAAAAAAGGGTAAAATAAGGTATTTATTTGGTACTTTTATATTAAGTTATTTATTACAATAAATACAGTAGATCTTACAATTCACAATCTATAATCTACAGACTTTATATAAAAAATATTTTTATCTTTAAGTTTATCTGTTAGTATTATATAAAAAAAAGTTAAAAATAACTTTTAACTGCTTTCTGTCAGCCAAGCAAAGTATGTAGACGAAAAAATGTAAGGGCGTACCTAACAACGCAAGAAGAAAAATTCCACTTTGACAAAAGAGCTTCACAGTAACCACATGTCGTATAATGTCGTATTACTCTGAAAAGTCTGCTTTTACGCACACAAAGGACTATTTTTAAAATCAAGTAGTCTGGGGTGAAATATCTTCCTTCACAATCTAGAAACGGTTGACTAGCGTTCGCCTTTTGTTATTTTTCACGGCTTTTATCGCCTAGACAGCGTCTAGATCAAAATAAATATTGAAAAAGTAACAATTGGTGGATGGGTATTTATTCAGTTGTACAGGTAAAATTTGAAACATCGCATAAGTAGATATTTCTATATTTTTATGATGATATACAGGGTGTTTCAGCAATGTTGACCACCGGCCATATCTCGGAACTACTCTGGGCATATAAATTTAGGGAAAAAAAATTCAAGAGAAATAAATATTAAAACTAAATTTCGTCGATTATTTAACGCTATAATACATCAATCAAGGATAATCATCTTTAATTCCAACAGACGCCAATCAACACAAACAAAATTGGGGGATAAGGAGGGAGGAGGTTGAAATATTAAAAAAACCCAACTTAAAAATAAAAAAATGACATCAAATTGAAATCTTCAGGGAAAGGTGATGAAGTGGATTGATTCTGAAAAACATTTGATTGAAGATAGGGGTCTATTAAACTGTGAAGAGTATAATATAGAATGCCAAGCATTATATATCTTCATTCTAGTTTAAATATACATTTTAAATGCAGAATCGACTTCATCTTATGGAAACAAAGCAAATGTTGTTTATAAAAGTTCAGTTTATATTATTAAATAATCTTTTCAAACACCACACTAGGTAAGAATATTTTATTGTTTCCTTACAAACTATGCAAATTTCACTTTAAAGAAACAACCAAATATTTTCTAAAAAAGTCTCACCTCTTGTGGTATTACCCTTAAAAATTTCCACATTAAGGTATACCTTCGGTAACATCATTAAAAAGTTTAGATAACTCGGCACCATTTTGGTCTACGGCTCATTGGCGTACAGATCTTGATAAGAGTGGAGGAATCAATTGTAAGTGTAATCTTTTAAATCGCTGTATTATCTAAACGACTTTTCTGATGTTAGTAAACTTAAGCTTGCTTGGAAGAGAAAGGTAAGTACTTTTAATTTTCATATCCATTTTGTTATACGATAGTTTCTAATAAAATAAAACAGTGTTTTGATTTTGTCCCGAAAACTTAAACCATAAAAAAAATCTTTATTCCAGTAAGAACATTGCTACACGGTATTGGAAAAGTCAGTTTTACAAAGTGTTTTACAAAGAATGTATATAATTTAGGCAAGTAAACATAAAAAAAAAATATATATATATATATATATATAAAATAAACAGAGCATATATCACGTAACAAATAAAAATAAATAATATTACACAGACCGAGTGGAGCCATACTTATTTAGTTAAAATTGTAGTACTCATCTACATTATAAAAACAATTCTCTAACAAGAATTCCTTAAGTTTTTTCTTAAAAGAATTAAAAATTTGTTCATCTTTTATTGACTGGGGCAATTTATTATATAATTGTATGCCAGCATATGACGGACATTTTTGATAGAACGCTGTTCTATGATTCGGAATTCGTAACAAATTACCATGCCTGGTTTGGTAGTTATGATTATCTAAATTTTTACTAAATTCATTAATTTTTTTCCTAATATATATATTATGCATTTATAAATGTAAATAGAAGGCAGTGTTAAAATATTAAGTTTTTGGAAATATGATTTGCATGATATTCTTCTATTAAGACCAAGAATTAATCTCAAAACTCTTTTTTGTAAAATGAAAAGCCTATTAGAGGATGATGAATTTCCCCACACAATTATATTATATGACAAATGAGAGTATATCATTGCGTAATATATATTTATAAGTTGTTGTTTGCCTAAAATATTTTTTAGTTGAAATAAAACATAATACCCACTATTAACCTTTTTACTAATATAATCAATGCACGATTGAAATGATAAGGTGCTGTCAAGAAAAGTTCCCAGAAATTTTGTAGACTCGGACATTGTCATATTTAGATTATCTGTTGTCACTGTTATTACATTCTCAATGTTATTAGTAATGTTAAATTTCATCAGTACCGTTTTCTTAGAATTTAATATTAGGTGATTTTGTAGACACCACTCATTGAATTTGTTATAGAGGAAATTCAATTTGTTTGAAAGTTCCTCTAGAGAATTCGCACAAGAAGCCACTGACACATCATCTGCATATAGAACAATGCAATCTGCGTTTAAGTATGTTGGTAAATCATTTATAAATATAAGAAATATCAATGGTCCCAATACGGATCCCTGAGGAACCCCCATATCTACATTACCTTCATTTGAACAAGTTTAATTCACTTTGACAATAATTTTTCTATGTCTTAAATATGACATTGGCCAACTTAACACATTTCCTCGAAAACCTAAAGATTGAAGTTTAGTTTCCACAAAATCCAAATTTAAGCAATCAAAAGCTTGTGTAAGATCAAAGAAAAGTGCTCCAATAACTTTTTTGCTATCAAGCCGTTTGTATAAAAATTCAACAAAATCATATATAGCGCTCTCCGTTGATCTACCAGGGTAAAAACCATTTTTAGTTATGATCTTATACTTTTCTAAGTAAGAAATCATCCTATTATACATAGCCTTTTCGACTATTTTACTTATGACATTTGATACTGTTATTTGTCTATAATTGTTTAAACTTAGCGGATCATCTTTTTTGTATAAAGGAGTTATTAATCCTACTTTCAAATCTTCAGGGTATTCACCATCCTGAACGGAAACATTTATTATATTAGCTAAAGGATCAGCTACATAATAAGCAATATTTTTAATAATTTTAGTGGGTATGCAATCTACTCCAACAAAATTAGTATTTTTTAAATTTCCAATTATCTCTAAAACGTCTTGTTTATTTACTGGGTCAAAGAAAAACGAATTACTGTTACTCAGAACACATTTTGTACAATCTGTACTAGCGCTTCCAAAATACTTTTCATTCAATAATTTTACTGCATTACTATAGTGTTTAACAAAACTATTTGCTACCTCAAAATTATTTTCAATTATCTGTTCATTGATTTTTAATTTAATTTGTTGATTTGTCTTTATTCTGCCGCTTTTTTCTTTAACTAGTTTCCATACGTATTTTTGCATTTCAATAGGGTTCGTCTTATTGTCAATTGAATTTTGATAATAAAATATTTTATGACGTTTTAGTTTTTGTTTATAGTTTTTAAATTGAGTTTTGTATTCTAATTCTAAATGTTTATCATAAAAATTCTGTTTTAACCAATGCAGGTTTTTTAATCTAATACCCATTTCAATTGTCGCTGTGGTAATCCATTTACATTTCCTATTTTGATTTAAACAATTTATTTTCTTAACCATTGGACGAAATTTATCGATTGCAAAATTAATAGCACCATAGAAATCATTTAACATGTCATTAATATTTGCGTAGTTGCTTAGTTCATTAAAATTACGATTATGTCGAAAATAGTTTTGCAGATTACCAATAGCATTTTCACCCAGATTTCTAAAAGATATTTACAGGAGTAATTAATTCTGATTTTATATTTAAAATTAAACCAAAATGATCTCCTAGATTCAGATCATGAACAGTTTCGTTATAAGTATCTATAGGCATATTTGTAAATACGTAATCAAGTTTTGATATTGAAACAGTGGCATTACTCTTTTTATGTACCCTCGTGGGATCTGTATTTTGAATTGTCAAATTATAACATTGCATAAGGTCTAATAAAATATTTTTGTTGTTAGATTGAGTTAAGTAGTCAATATTCAGATCTCCACAAAGAATAACATTTTTATGCTTCTTTACACAATAATCTAATATTTCAGTAACTTGATTAAAAAATATATCTACATTGGCTCCAGACGGTCTATACATTACAATAATACAGTATTTTACATTTTTAACACAAATTTCTATACCACAACTCTCTGAATGCATTTCTACAGATAAATTTTTTACAATATCTATAGTCTTACAATAAATATCATTTCGGACCAAAATCATTACTCCGCCGTGTTAGGTCGTACATAGTACTCAGCTATTTTAAATTCTTTAAAGAAAATACATGTATAATTGGACTCTAAACACCAAGTTTCTAAAACACACAGAATGTGCGGTTTGTATTCTTGAATTAATAACTCAAACTGTTCAATGTTATTTGTACCTAATACATTGAGTGTTAACACATATAATTTTAAGAAAATATTGATTTCTGGTACGAATTAAAATTAAAATTCTCGGTCTTGGTATCCAGTGTTTCGAAATTGAAATTTCTTTACGATGACACCTTTGGGCCAATAACTAGGGGTATATAGATTATTTTCTAATTCGACATCAGCTTCTACTCTGTAAGAAGAATTACGCCCTTGTGAATTTAACTTCGTTACATTAAATTCATGTCCGGGTGATCTTTTTTCTAGGTATTTTTTAATATCCTCTGGAGTTGAAGTAGGTTTACAACGACCTACATTTATCCACAGACGACGAGTTGATGCAAAGTTTCCAAACTCATCTGCCACATTTTCCTTTTGTTTATGTTCATTTGTTCCCGTACCCAATACAATTTTCTTGGGCCTCTCTGTATTTCTGCTTCGACCACGTCTACAATAAGTCTGCTGGTGCGGTACCTTCGAATAATTACTATCTAATCGGACAATTTTTTCTTTCTCAACTGATTGT